CACAATCCCCCCCCCCCTAAAAAACGCCTACCCCAGCCCAGCGCATGGCCCGCTATATATGCGGGCGTCCACGCACGCACCTGTGGGCGGTTCATGCGCAGTGCCACTCGCAGCGCATCCAGATACTTGTTGACCTTGCGGTAGATCCGGTATGCCACTTCCAACACCACCATGTCCTCCGGCTCTGGCACATAGCTGCGGGGAGAGGGGAGAGGGGGGGGAGAGAGGGAGAAGAGCGGCGGTTCAAAAGGAAGAGTTGAAAAAGGAAGAGGGGGAGGAGCAGCATAAGAAAAATGGGATAAAGATGGGGAGAAAGGAGGACTGTAATAGCATTGAAATGCGCAAGACTGATTGGATTAACAAGCAGCAGAGGGAGGGTGCAGCTCACCTAGCGCAGGCGGTGAGGTAGAGACAGGTGCGGGAGTAGTTCTGTGGACCAATGTGGTCTACCAGCAAATCCAGATGCTCCACCTGCCGACAGCACGAATGGAGAGGGGAGGACGGGTGGGAGGGGGTGGGGGGGGAGGAAAAAGGGGGGGGGGAGGGGGGGGAAAGGGAAAAAGAGAGGAACGAATGCGGGGATGACAATACAATCCAGTCACGTGCAAGCTTCAAGTTAAGAACATGGTGCAAAGACAAGGAAACAACGGGAGCATAAGCAAAACAATTCAAGGATATGGAAAACGGATGTCAATGTGGATAGAGGTGACAGGGAAAGGGCAGAAGGGAAGAAGCATAAACCCGTTTCCACCAAAAAGAGTCTATGTTTGAGGCTCGGAGAAACAAGGGAAGTGGGAAGGAAGGTGCAGAGGAGCAAAGACTTACCTCCATCAAGAGGTCGACAGCCTCAGGCTCTGCGTTGTGCTGCACAGGGTACAGCCGAGAATGACAGCAGCACGCGAAAGGACAGGCCGTAGAAGAGGCACAGTGAGGGGAGAGGCACAGCGCTACATGGGGAAACGGACGAAGCAAGATAGCATGCCAGGCAAGGAACAAGAAAGCGAGCTCGGCACTTAAAATGGTCGACTCAGGGCGGAAAGTGCACGAGACAGTCACTGCACGTGAACGGGTGAGAGTGAGCCGGGAGTGAGGGTGGGGAATGGGGGGGTGGGAGGGTGGAGGAGGAGGGGAAGGGGTAGGGAAGGGTAAGGGGAACGGAAGGCAGAGACGAAGCGGGCATGGGAGAGCAGTGGCCACGCGTGACATGGAAAGGAATGATCTGCACTTGCTTTGAGCAATGTCAGCAATTCCAACATTGTGTCCGCACCTCAACGTGGAAGGGCACGATCTGGTGCACGAGGCCCATGAGGTCATCCACAGGCTTGTCGTCCGCCTGCCGTAGCTGGTACTCCACTCCTATCTCCCCCGCCAGGTTCCTGCTCACCCCGTGCAGAGGGGGGGTGGGAAAGGGGCCGCACAGATTACACGCTTGGGCCGAGTGATTTTTTAGACGCCTCAAAAGTCGTCCGCCTGCCGTAGCTGGTACTCCACGCCTATCTCCCCCGCCAGGTTCCTGCTCACCCGGTGCAGCGTGGACGTGCAATGGGGGACGGAACGCAGGCACACTAGACGCAAGTGGTGAGGACAGAGAGGAAAGGACGGACTGGCGTCAAAAGGGGACAGGCAGCAGCTTAGAGGGGACCTTGATGTGGCGAGGGGTTTCAAAGAAGAGGGACACGGAGAAGAGGGTGGGGGAGTGGGGGGCGGGAAGTTGAAGCGAGTAGAAGATAGGAGACAGATGCAGCAGGGGGAGGGGAGGTGAGCGTTGCAAAAGAAGCGTTCAAGAAGCGATGATTTCACTTCACACCTGACGTATTCGTGGCCCCACGAGCCAAGGTCCTCTGTGGATCCCAGCAGCCTGTACTTGAGACTCTCCTGCACGCAGCCATGGCACAGAGATGCGCACGTGAGAGAGAGAGAGAGACATGAGAGGGAGCAAGAGACGCAAGAGCCGGCGAGAGAGGAGAGAAGGAGCGAGCGAGGTAAGAGCGAGGTGCGAGAGGTACGATTCAAAAAGCACATCCAGTCATGATTTAGGGAAGATAGGCCCCCAAGAAGATCCAGAAATCCCGGTAAACAGAGGAGGAAGCAACGGGTAGTCGGGGTGGGGGGTGGGGGGGAGGTGGGGGGGAGAGGGGAGGTGGGGGGGGCAGAAGTTGGGGCAAGAGCGGGATGTAACGTACCCTGGCTCCATCCTCGGACATGGTCATAGCCAGCACCGAAATTACGTCTGCGATGAGGCTCTGCACGGCACAGAGCACGGAGATCCAACGATCAGGAGAGCCACGACAGTTAGACAAACCTAGGCGAGCGGAAGTATGGAGAACGACCAACCAAGGGGACCTTAAGGGTCGAAAGAAAGATGCATAGCAAGATGCATTGGAAGGCCATGGCGTGTGCGCAGTACGTCAAGCAGGGCTTTAAAGAGAAGGAGAGGAGTGGATGAAGATAGGCGGGCAAGACAGGGGAGGGCAGGAGGGGAGGGGAGCAGGAGGGCAGGAGAGCAGGGAGTAGGGCGAGACCTGGTTGTCGGGGTGAACAGTGTCGTAGGAGCTCTTGAGCAGCGCATAGTGCTGGCGCAGGAACTTGAGCGGCTTGGGCACGGATGTCATGGAGCTGGTGGCCGTGCGGATCTCCTTGCTGCCAGGGCGATACGCACGCACGCACGCACACACACATACACACACCCGTCATGCAGCAGATGCGTTAGCGACAATCTCAAGGGTTTGGGGAGTGTTGAAAAATGATAGATTCTAAGATGGAAAGAGCGGACTCGTGATACAGATGTAACTGGAGAAGGCAGGCACACGACCACGTGTACCAAAACCCGTGTGCAACGCGGATGCAAGAAGGGAAGCACGCGAGTAAAGCGGGTACATCGGCAACGTCACTCTCCCTCGTATCAAAAGCCATGCTTGAGAGAAGAGAAGCAATCTGTCTCACTCCCCAAGGGACCCGCTCACCGCATGCTTTCGAGCGCTAGCTTCTGTACTCCGGCTTCAGTATCACTGAGTCGCTCCACCATGAGGTCCAACGCCTGCTTCAACGCCAAGTCCTCCTCCGACTGCCGTGAGATGCATGCACGCACGCACACACGCACGGACACACGCACACGCACACACGTACACACACGCACGCACGCAGACATTCGCACGCGCAGACACACACGCGCGGCACCACACGTGAAGCCCAGACACACACGCGAGGCACAGACACACACGCGCGGCACCACACGTGAAGCACAGACACACACGCGAGGTACAGACACACACGCGAGGCACAGACACGCCATACGACGATTTGAGTTGTGTGCATCGCTGGTGGGTGGACGCACGACGCTGGACGGATTCCCGCAAGGCGTGGCGAAGAGGAATAAAAGCAAGATCCTTCGGTCTAACCCTTCAGCTACCCGCGCAGGTGTCTACACGACCAGCAGATGGAGACCCAGTAACGGAGATCTGCGCACTAAGTAACAGATTCCGAGGCAGAACATGCGAACAAGCTTAGGAACGTGGTCCGACGGATCAAGGAAATCAATGATAATCTAGACGCGGCCCCGAAACCTACTCGACCTTCTAAATCACTGTGGAAATAGCTCGCTCCAGGCGAGCTACCGGCAGAGGCAGCGGACATCCGCCTTATTGGAGTGACTAAATCCTCAAACGGAATTGAATCTACAGGACTGCCAGAGAAAACCCGACCCTGACGGACCAAGCCTGGAGCTTCCAATCCGAGTCGTTGTCCTTACTACTAAGGTTGGGATTGCGTCCATCACACGCAACCATGACAGCCGGAACTTTAAACTTCACTTGAAACGCACGGGGCTCCCAAAAGATCGTGCGATCTGTAGCAATCTTAACCGCCATCGAAGTGACCTTGGCCGTCATACCAGCGTTTTTAGCAGCCATCATAGATATTTAGCTGTCATACCAGCTCATCCTGCTTCTTCTCTTCCTTCTTCTTCTTGGCGTCCTTAGTCGCCCCATCCTTCCGACCCTTCTGCTCCTCCTTGGACGTGCCGACCTTCTCCTCCTCCTTCTCCTTCTTATCCACCGCCATTTTCACAGATCACGAGCTGCACACGAAACAGGAATAAGGGAATTAAGAACATAAACTAAGATACGGTCCGGAAAGGTGAAAAGACGATCCGGAAATCCGAATCCCACAAATTGCTAATTCAAGGCTGTTTGCAGACTGAATGAATTCCTGGTGAGTTCTACCTACGAAAAGCCGCGAAACCGTCCGTCATCGACTACAGGCAAGCGCAGATCGAAGGGTAAAACTGCTGAAACGCACAAGGAGTCTCAGACCCTACACGTACTCAGAGAACGGAAGAGACCGCAGATCGACGAAGAATTCGAGTAGCGATCTGGTTCGTCTAAATCTTCAGAAAATTGTGACGAGATGGATCACGACAGAAGGTGAAGAACAGAAGCGCGACGCAGATCCGCAGACTCAGCTCGCTAGCAAATCCACTCAAAGCGGTTCCTTGTGTCTATGACTGCCGAGCTAGATTTGAACAAGACGTGGATGTTCAGGATGGAGGGGAGATTACTCAAATTCATATGTCGCTTGCTGTTTGTTACGACAAGCACGTACAATATTTGTACAGAGATGATCTAAAAACGGTGAATATTTTCCCAAACCTCTGATTGAGAACCTTTCATTGCTTCAACTACATTTCCTGCATGATTAACACAAACGATTTCAGCGCTCTGAAGTCTATATCGAGTCTCCAGATCCTTGTGCGGAATCTTCAGCTGGCTGGTCTTGAACTTCAGCCCCTATCAATGCTGTCCGAGGTTGCGTGAGTTGCGTTGAGTTTTTCGGCCATTTCCACTCGTGTTTTCCGTTCCGCGTCTCTTCCTCTCGCGTATCGTCGCCGTCCCTCGCCTGCGCGGGTTTCGCTCCTCCGATCCGAATCGGAGTTGCTGTTGAAATCACCAACAGCAATCCTTCATCACGTGCAAAGGTCTTCCGTCAAACACCGCGTCGCGCTGATGTCCGCCGGAGAAGCGGCTCCGGCCGCCGCTGCTGCTGCTTCTCCGCGGCCGGCGCTTCTGGTGCACGGCGCGCTGTGGGGGCTGCCTTCCGCGTGCCCCTGCTGCATCCGCGCGGAGGCGTACCTGTGCCTCGCGGCGTTTCCGCACGACTGCGTCGAGTGCCCCGCGCAGATCACCTCCTGTACGCCCCCGCTCGCGCTATTTCTCCCGCTTCTCTACACACACAATCCTTCTCCCCCCACCCTCCCCCCTCCCCGCGCGCGACACCTGGTTTGCGCTGTTCGGGGTCGTCCGAAAGCACGCTCCGCGGGTCTAGCTTCTCCCCGCGCAGCTTCTCATGCGCCAGCTGCCCCTGTATTCCGTCGTTCCCGTTCGTAATCTATAATTCAATTGCACAGCTCTCTCGTCCTCCCACCTTCGCTCCTCTCCCCGCCCCCCTACCCCGTCTCTTACCCCCTCTCCCCCACCCCCCCCATATCCCCGTCCTGCATCCCCGTCATCCCTCCCCCTTCCATTCCCCCCCGACCCCTCCCAGCCACCCTCTCGTCTCTCCCCTTTTCGAGCCCATTTATTTTCGCCACGATTTTTGCCAATCTAATCAGTCGCATCCCTTATGCACCCCGCCCCTATCCGCCCGATCCAGGCGACCTCCCCGCGCTCGAGGATTACCCCTCCGCGCCCGCCCATCCCCCCCCCGCGCCCGACCAGCCCTCATCCTCCTCCGCGCCCCCACCCGACTCTCCCGCTGGCGCTTCCTCATCTCCCCCTCCCGCTGATCCCGCCGATTCGCAAACCCCTGCGTCCGCCGATACTGCCGCTTCCGCCGACACCCCCCCCGCGGGATCTTCCGCCGCGCCCTGCGCGCGTCGCTCCTCCCCGCGCCCGGTGATTGCGCTCTCCTCCGCGTCCGCCTCCGCCGTAGAGGACTACCTCCGCGCGCACCGCGGGGTGGACCTAGACGCCGCGCTTTCCCCCGTAGAGCGCGCCGAGCTGACTGCGCTGCGCGGACTGGTGGAAACCACCCTCTCCGCGGCCGCGCAGGCGGAACTATGGGGGGAGGAGCGCAACCGTGCTGCCCTTCGGGAAATGTTTGACTCCGCGGTGCCCTGGCCGCTCTCCCGCGCGCTGTTGTGGAGAGAAGCGCGGAACCAGGGATGGGGGGAGGCGGAGCGGAAGGCGCAGCAGGGGGAGGGCGGGGGAGACGGCCGGAGTAGTGGCGCGGGAGCGGCGCTGGCGCGCGCTGGCGTGCGGTCGAGGGAAGAGGTGCGCGGAAGGGGTTTTTGGTGTGAGGGGTTTAGGGCAAAAACCGGGGAATTGCAATAAGTAGAAGGGAGTGGGTTGACTGGAAAGTCGTTGGTATGGAAAGATGAAGGTTCTGGGGTTTGAGGTCGCCTCATCGTATCAGGGAATCCTCGCCCTTTCTCGCATTCCCTCATCTGCCCTCCCTGGTTTCATGCCATTTCACCGAGGGTTCCCCTTTCCCACCCTCCCGCTATTCCCTCCCTCCCATCCCTCACCCCCCTCCCCTCCCTCCCCTCCCCTCCCTCCCCTCCCTCCCCTCCCTCCCCTCCCTCCCCTCCCTCCGCTGCAACGCTTAAACCCTGAACCCTCCCATCAGCTCTTTGCACGAGCAGCAGCGGCATACTCGGCGCTCGCCAGTCGCCTGGGGGACGCACCTCTCTTCTTCGACCCCAGGCAAGTGCTTAGACATGAATGCATGCATTGAAGAGCATTGGCTGGGCTTAGCGCAAGCGAGAAAGAGAACCATACGCAGTATAGGTGTAGGGCTTGCGCTTGACAGTCTTGCAATACTGCTCATATCAAAGCACAGCACCAGATGAGATGGTCTTTTTATGGCTGGGTTTCGCCTCACCGCACTGCTTCCTATTGTGCCTCACCGTGACTGCCTATTCGCCTCTTTCTGTGTGAACATGAAGGCTCCTCCGTACCCCCTTTCATGCCTGCCAAGCGATCGACTAGTCACCTTTTCATACCTCCCCTCCTCTACCCTCCTCTACCCTCCCCTGCCCTGCCAATCGCACGACCAACTCCCTGTCTCACACTCATGTTTCCATTGGTTCCTTCTCCTTTTCCGCCCTCTCCCCCCCCCACAGGCCAACAAGTCTAGACGCTGCTCTCTACGCACATCTCATCTTCGTCACACAGGCTCCACTGGTATGTGCACACGTTCATGCATACATACGTGTGTAGGGGTGTAGGTGCTCAAACCTCCCCCCGTCCCCCGCTTCCTCTCTCCCAGGCCCAGTCTCTTTTGAAATTTCTCCAAAGTGGCTTTTAATTGCAGCAGCTTTGTTTGAGTCAGCTTGAAACCCACACCTCCCTCCCGTCCTCTGAGGCGCAGTCTCAGCTGCAGCAGCTGGTGGCGTCGCACTCACACGCCTCTTCGCACTCCCTTTGTGCCCTGGCATGGACTTGAAACTTCACTCCATCCTCGCCTTTACATCCACTATCCCCTTCCATTCCTTATCCTCCCCTGTCTCCAACCCACTCCTCCCCCACCCCCCCCCGCTTTCCCCGCTGCAGTCGCAGCTGCAGGAGCTGGTGCTATCCCACGCGCCACTTCCAGTCCCAGTTTCAGTTGCAGCAGCTTTGTAAGAGCACACTCAAAACTCACCCTCCCTTTCCCATTTCCCCCTACCCGTCCCCTCAGGCACAGTCGCAGCTGCAGCAGCTGGTACTATCCCATGCGCCTCTCCGCGCCTTCCTCTCAGCCATGACCAACCGCCTTACCGCTGCCCGCGCTGCGCTGCGAGCCGGCTCCGCCGTTCCGCCGCCTCTCTCACGGCCCTTTGCACCGTCCACAGGAGCAGGTACGGTGGGTGGGAGAGGGAGTAGGCAGTCTCTCGGATGTGCGGGTGGTTGTTGGGAATACTCTGGGAAAGGACTGTGATGTTAACAAGGCATGTACCGTAAGAGTTCTTGATGTTTGTTTACTTCTCTTCATGCATGCATATGAAGATCAGAGCCGCAGTCCAGCCATCAGTACCTGGTCTCGGACAACTTCACCACTTATGAGCCCTTTCCTCACCCGACAACATTCCGCTTCTATTGATTCAGAGTCGACTTTCTGAAGATCCCTCGATCCAGACTGCAGCTCTAAGATGCCCTAGTTCTTGTGTGCCATACAAGAGCCCGTTACAATCACACCCCTTCCGCACCTTTCTCTCCCTCCCACCCGCCATCTATCCTCTTCTCCTTGCCGTAACCCTTTACAGCAGGCAGGAAGGAGTCTCGCTCGGCTCAATCATCCACTGAAAGCAGCAAGCCGCGGTCCACAGCATGGCTGTTCGTGCTCGCACAGGTGGCTGCTATCCTTGGGTACATTGTTGTGTCGTCTGTTTCACTAGAACTAGGAGAGGATGAGGAGGAGGAGGAGGAGGTTGAGGAGACGGAGAGTGGGAGGAGGCATGGGGTTTCGGGGAGTGCGAGGGGAGGTTTGAGAGGGGAAGAGGTGGGGGAGGAGGATGGTGGTGCTGAAGGGGAGGATGGGGAAGAGGATGGCGATATTGATGATGATGATGACGATGAGTAGGGTGGTAAACGGTGGATAATTGGTGGATACATATGCGAATAATTATGTGGACTCTGTTTTAGAATAATGGATACTTGCATGGTAGCCCAAGCCTCTTCCTCTTGTCTATGTTACAGCGTATACATGCACTTAGTGTGCGTGTGCGTGTGCGTGTGCATGTGGAGGCTGTACTGATTAGATAACGCATGAGAAATAAACCCACTTGGCACTTGCAGCATACCGTATTCCCCCGGATAAAAGACCCCCCTATAATAATGTACCCGGGTCTTTAATACGGGGGGGGGGTATATTATTCAAGACTGTTTTCCTTATACCCCCCATTTGGGGTGAAATCATTATAAGACCCCCCCCCAACCATAAAAGTGTTTTTTAGAGGCTAATTCATGTCAATTAAGCAAGCAGTGGCACATGTTAGGCCACAGGAGTCACAAAATACAATCAAGGCAACCTCTCAACACCCAGCTAGCTCCACTCTTCACCCACCACCTTGGAATCCACCCCCGCCTTGCTACTCATCTTCGTCACCCGCCACCCACTCCTCTACCTCTGCCCCCTCATAGCGACCAGGGGCCCACCATTCATCCCCGTCGTCGCTCCACTCGTCAGCTTCGCTCGAGTTTCCATCGTCTGACTCGCTCGAGTCCGACTTAGCAGGTACTGCCTCCTCATCGGCCTCCTCTGCTTCAGCAGCCAGCACGGCCTCCTCCTCCATCTCGACGGTCACATCGGGAGGGGTGACCACGGGGGCCGGGTAGAACGGGTTGGGGACCAGTTCATCCTGCTCCTCCTCCATCACGTCTTCCAGCACCTCCACCTCCCCGGAATCCCGCATGTGCGCCAGGATCAGATGATCCTGGCTCCCGTCCTCTGCGTTGGAGATGCCGCAGGTGAGGAATGCTTTCCTCACCATCTCCTCGGGAACGTCGGCCCACGACTCGTCAATCCACTTCAGGACGAGTTCGGCCGGCGGTTTCTTCAAGTTGCCTGCGGGTTGGGGCCAAGGGAAAGGGATTGGAGGGTGTATGGTTGTGTGATTCGCCTGTTCTTACACCGTCAACACGCCCCCATTGCTTCATACTCGGTCTTACCTGCGGGAGTTGTGCTTGTGATCCCGTCCTCCTCGAACCAGTTGCCGTAGCGGTGGCGGACGCCCGCCTTGAAGGCACGGTTGATAGACACATCAAGCGGTTGCACAAGCGGTGTGCAACCGCCTGGGATCACCGCGCGTGTCAGCCTGAAGAGACGCATAGTCTGGCCGACACGTTCGGTGAGATGTCCTCGATATGAGTCCAGGACGAGGAGGACGTCCTTCCGCCTGCCCCCCTCGTCCCGCAGGGGCCGCATGAAGGGGACGAGGACTTGGGTAGTCCAGTCCTGGACGAGGTTCTCGTCCATCCATCCCCGTGCCTGCGCACGGATAACGACGCCTGCACACCGCATGATGCATGTCAGTCGCATGTATAGGGGTACTAGTAACATGCGCAACGGCAATAATGACTCACCTCGCGGAACGACGACCTTCGGGATTGTCTTGCGCTTGAACACCACATACGGTGGCAACTTCAAGCCGCTCGCCGTCACCGCCAGCATAACGGTGAGGCGCTCCTTCTCGTAACCCGCGGTACGGACGTGCACGGTGCGCGCCCCCTTCATCTCCAATGTGCGTTCCTGCGGCATTTCCAGGAAGAGCGGCGTCTGATCGGCGTTAACGATCAGACTGGTGGGGTAGGAGTTCAGGACTTGCATCTGCCGAACAAACTCCCAGAATGATTCCACCTTGGCCTTCAAATCTGCAAGGAGAGAGAACATACAAATTGTCAGTCGCGGAACAACATCGATTACACACACGAGACCGGTTTCCGCGTGCAAATATAGCGTCAAGGCAAAGGGACTCACTGTCAGCCAGCTTTTGCCCCATCTTTGTCTTGACACGCTTTGCCAAGGACCACCGCACGCGGAAACGGAAAGTCCAACGGTTAGACCCGCGCCAGTCGGCCTGAGGGTGTCGGTTCTTCATGTACTGCCGCGACCACTTCTGAAGCATGCTCACAGAGACGGCCAGACCCTTGGCACGGTGCGCCAAAAACTGACGGTAGACGGCCCGCTCCATGAAAGGCGACTTGGCCTTACGGCCTGCGCCAACGAGGCGACGACGACACGCCGCTGAAACAAGGAGTCGCTCCTTCAATTTCCGCCATTCGCGAATCTGCTTCGGTTGCACGTTAGCTAGCCGCGCCAACCCCCGGATGCTGAGATCGGGCTGCGTGTCTAGCATATCCAGCCAGTACAGCTTCTCCCTCGCCGTGTATGCATGCCGCGCCTTCTTCGTGATACGGTGGCGAGGCGAGGAGGGGGGCGCTGCATCCTGTACCTTATTCTTCTTGCCTTGCGGACGTGACGACTGCGGAAATACGGGGACACGGACTGTGGGAAGGGGGGCCCGTGGGGTACGGCTGCTCTGAGAAGTCTCACTCGAAGACGGTACTGGCGTGGCCAGCACAGGACGCGGCGTAGTCCTAACATGAGCAGGTTGACGGACGTTTTTTGCACGAGGGCGACGGGATTCTGACGTGCCTGAATCGGGCGTTGACACCATGGTGACACCGTTTTCCTGCCTAATGCTATGCCTGGCATTCTTTGCGCTCTGAATTTAATCGGCCGTGCTAGTCCCGCTATGCTAGACTCTGCCGAGCTGCGCTCCTCATTGCACAGAGCTGCGTTCCCTGGCGGTGTCAAATTCGCTTGTGCACGAGACGTGACAGAGAGAGCGCGACTCTGTGCTGAGAGCCTCACGTAGCATGCAAGGGATGAGACGTCCGAGGCGGTCTGACACAAAGCATTGGACGTGGTACACATTGGTCGGCCCCCAATCTGTAATGCTGGTTACCATTGAATATGGGCCAATGAGCATGAAGCATTCAGATGCTTCATGGATTGTGCCCGGTTTCTCGGCTCAGGACATTCGCGAGGTTTTTCCTCGTTAAAAAAACGCAAATCTGAATGCCAACACCCTAGCATTTCATTATATTTTAAAAAACATAGCACTTATAATAAGACCCGGGTCTTATAGGGTTTTCACAATTTAATAAGACCCCCCACATTTTTTTGTGAAATCAATAGCAGCCCCTAGGGTCTTTTATCCAGGGGAATACGGTACTACGGCACAAGGAATTGGGCAGGGGTTTTTGTGCGAATCTTCTTTGTGGTACATTAGTCTTTTATAAGCAAGGTACTACATATTCAAGCAGTGTAGCTGAACAGAGGGAGGAGCAGAGCGTCAAACAGAAACTAGCTAAAAGAACGGCACTAGGGCTGCTGCTATGGAAAGCTCTGCAGAAATCTCTGGTTGAAACGAAAGCTGGAAAGAAAGGGAACACTGTCAGTCATTGAAACACAGAAGATAGAGCCTCCTTCCTTGCAGAAAACACCAGCAATAGTGGGAGTGGGGAGTGGGGTAACCCTGCTAGTGGTGGTGTGGTGTGTGGGTTCCCGACTCCCAGCTTCTTCCTCTAACACCACGCTCTGGCATCAACGTAGGCGACTCATAATGAGTCATGCCATGACAATTGTAACACTCGCCATATTTGGATAAGCATACAACAACTGGGACCTCTGCATGAAAGGTGTTACAGTTTTTTGTTGGACTCACACCTGCACAGATTACCAGGGGGGGAAGGGGGAGGGAGAGGGAGAGGAGAGAAGGTGAAGGAGAGTAAATGCGATAATGAGAGAGGGAAAAGACAAGCGAGGAAAAGGCAGGAATACACACATTGCTCCATAACTTGGTACCCACTGATCCACAGACCTTGCCACCCACATTGTCAACCTCCCTGCCACCCACCTTGCCACCCAGTAAGCACGCGAGCTTGTGCGAGGGCCAGTGGGCCTTCTGGCAGTCCCTGTTGCAATACGCCACCTTGCCACACCCAGAACACCCCTTCAACTTCACACCACCGCCCTCCACCTTCCCACACCCCTCAGCACTGCACACGCGCCCCCCACTAGCCGCAGAACCAGCTGCTGCTGCCGCAGCTGCCGCTGTTGCTGCTGCACTGTTGCTGGCACCGGTGTTTGCAGCAGCAGCAATGGTCACTGCAGCAGGGGAGGAGGAGGCAGCAGGAGAGGAGGAGGAGGCAGCAGGGGGAGCAGGGCGGTAGCAGGGCTCCCCCAGCAGCATCTCTCGCAGGCACGCCAGCAGGTTCACCCCTCCCGGCCACGGCTTCAGGTAAGCCGGCACCTCCCCCTTCTTCCCCGTCCCCTCGCTGCTGCCACTGCCACTGCCACTGCTGGTAGCGCTGCTGCTGCTGCTGCTCTGCCCGTCCTGCTCCTGCTCGTCTCCACGATACCTCGGGTCTATAGCCCTCTGCCACATTCCAGTGACCCAACTCCCGCTCTCCCACTTGCTCCCCTTCCCTTTCCGTGCCTTGCCACCCTTGCATGTCTCAACCATCCCCGGCCCTACCACCCTCAGAGTTGATTTCCATGCAAACATTGCTGCCAAACACCACCCCCTCACCTCCTCCCACACCTCCCCATCGTCCTCCCCGTCCTCCCCACCGTCCCCACCCCCCTTCTTCCCTCCCTTCTTCCCTTTCTGCACCTTCCTCCCAGCACCGCGCCGTACACCCTCTGCGCCTTCACTGCTCCCCACCGCTTCCAACTCCTCGATCTGCAGCAAGGATTTCGGCCAGTGAATCGCCACGTGGAGCAGAAAGAACACCGGCAGCTGCTCGGCTCGCTTCCATGCAGGTTCAGCAGCGGAGGGATATCCGCAGGCAGAGGCTCCATTTGCAGCAACTCTAGCAACTCAGCAAACTCTGCAGTGTGCGGGGGAAAGACCGTCAGGAATCGGTTGAAAAGCACGGACGCGGGGCGATAGGCGTAGTTTGCAATGAGTGCAAGCGTGGGGAGGAAGAATGTGTACGTGGCGAAGCACTTGTTGCACTGGGAGCACTCAGGAGGCTCTACCAGCTTCCCTGCAAACTCCACTAGGAATTCCGCATCTGCAGTGCAGCGAACGATGGGTACAGTTCGGTTCTGAGGGGCGGTGGCCCCTACAAGAGCGTCCATAAGGCTCATTGGCCCTTCTCCAGTGTCTTTCTTCCGCCCATTCCCCCTTCCACCCCCCCTGCCTCCCCTCCCGCCCCCACCCTTTTTCTTCCCTTTTCCCCCAGCCTTTGCTGCTTGCCTAGATGAACCTTTTGCGGCTCCACTCTCCCCACCCTCTCCACAATCACCCGTTTCACTCTCATCCACTAATCCCAGCCGGAAACACCTCTCACTGGGGTCACAAGGAAGCTTCACGGCAGCTTCATCGCCCTGAGGCCACTCCTCCCATTCCATCGGAAAGGTGCGCCCCTCCAGAGGCTTGGGGATGGCGCCGAGCCTGACCAGCAGGCTCGGAAGATCCCGAAGCGGGTGACGCATGGGCAGCACCTTGCACTGTGGGTCGTCCTTGAAGCATTTCTTCGCTGATATGAAATCTGAGCCGTAGATCCGGACCCACTGCAAGATGCAGCCTGCCCGATACGTGAAGGCTGCAACAACAGCGTTGGAGTTGACAGGCACAAGCCTAGATTCGGAAACAGCAGACGCAGCAGCAGAAGCAGGAGCAGGAGCAGCAGGGGAAACACTTGGCGCTGCACTAGCCATACCTGCTGCCCCATCTCCTCCTCCTTCCCCACCCATCTCTCCATCCACTCCTCCCAGCCTCCTCTCCCTGCCCACTCTCCCTCTAGCCGTCTCAATGGCAGCCTCTTCCACCCGAGTCTTGCTCGCGTTGTTCCCGTCTATGAGGAATATCTGCGCCTCCCTGCTGTGCTCTGGCTCACACAGCACACCCGCCACTGCCAGGGCGAAATCAGTAGCACCCACGCCACTCAAATACATGCCGGTGGGGGCGTTGGTGATCTCCGTACTGCCGCTACCGCCGCCGCCGCTGTTGCTGCTGCGTCTGCTGCCGTGGCTTTTGTTGCTGTTGCAGTGGCTACAGCTGAACTCTCTCCCTTCCCCCCCTCCGTGCTCCAGTATCCAGCCCATGCCATCCACGTACCTCTCCCACGCCGCCCCCGTCAGCTTCTCCCGCCAGTCCCCGTCCTTCCCCTCCCCCCCACCATCATCACCACCCGCGCTTTCCCCCTCATTATCACCCCCATTCCCCCCACTTTCCGCCTCCAGCATCTGAGTGAGCCGGCGCATAGCATCCTTATCCCCAAGCATTTTCATCATCGCATCCATAGGTATCATCCCCGGTTCCCCCTTCAGCCTCCTCCGCTCCTCCGCCCCCATCCCGCCCTCACTCTCCATCAGACCTGCCATAGCCCCCATTATCTCCTGCATCCCCATCCCCTCCACCCCTCTGCGCCCCCCCGCCCGCGCTGCTCCGCGCCCTGCGCCGCCGCCTCCCGCGCCTCTCCCCGCGCCTCTCCCCTTTCCCTCCGCGTGCGCCTTCTCAAGCCCGCCGGAGAGAAGTTCCTGGAGGAAAAACCCAAAGCCTTCCTTGAGATCTCCGCGCTCCTTCACCCCGAGTATCTGCACCAGCGCGGAAGCGAAGCTGTCCTGCTCCGCCTGCCTCCCCGCGCCCAGCGCTGCCGCCATGGCTGGGAACGCTGCGGAATACGAGTCCATGTGCGTCCTCCATATGGTCACAACGCGTGGGGACCTCGCTACAAGCACGAGAAATGTAGCGAAGCTGACAGCGCGCCGGAATGCCGCCCAGCAGCTGCTGCAGCGGTAGCAGGAGGAGGAGGAACAGGACGAGGTAGCAGCAGCATCAGGCACACCAGCACTGGCATGGTCAGTGGCAGCCTTCAGAGAAGACAAAGAAGACGGAGACGGAGACGGAGACGGAGACGGAGACGAGGAGGAGACTCCTGCAGGGGCCAGAATCGCAGGAATCCTGGCTCTGATTTTCCCGAGATCCATGAGTACGCCCACGCGGGGCTCCGCAAACCACTCCACAAGCATCCCTTCCGCGCAGAGGTACGGCGAGCGCTCGCACTTCCAGTGGTAGTGCACGGGAGGCGGAGCCCCGCGCGGGCCCCCCACCGCCCACACCGGGTTCCGCGCGGAGTGGTCCAGAATGGCGCGCGTCGGGCGGTTCGGGGGCGCGGCGGGGACGGAGTCCGGCATCTGCTTGTGCAGGTGCGAGCGGAAGTCTTCTAGGTTCATCATGTTAAGCGCGCGCTGCGCACGGTAGCTCACCGCGCGGTCGAAGCAGCACTCGCACTCCTTGAGTTCCCACCCGCCGTCCCTCACGTCCAAATAGTGAACCATCTCCGCGCGGCACGGCAGCTGGAGAACCTTCTCCGAGCCTTCCTGAGCGCCGGATTTTCCAGCTCCCGCTCCTTTCTGCGCCTTGGACTTTCGTGCCGCATTCTCCGCAGCGTCGAGCTGGTCGTCCTTGGGAAGCCATTTCTGCAGCATCTTTTTGACGTCCGGTGGGATTGGTTGGTTCCACCATGCCGCCGCGAGGGCCGCATCTTCTGCCGCTTTGCTGCTGAATCCGAATGGGTGCATTTTTAGCTAGTTTCGAGGCGGCTTGGAATCTAGATTGTCGGTCAAGATCACTCCTGATTAGTCGTCTCAGAAATGGCTACCTGTGAGCCGAGCTGAACCAAGAAATAATACGCAGATTGGAAGTGTTCGGTGCGGACGGACGCAAACAAGATACGCTTGCACGCTTTATGAACAGACACGCACTCACAATCCGAGTGCAAAACCGAGGCGGAAACACATTATCGCGCAATGCCAGCCACCGTTCTGAGGACGCGTTGAAAGTGCAAATATCGCAGGATCGTCTGCATATATCGATCCCCACAATCGAGTGGGCAGATCGCTTGGCGAAACGTGGCGACCGCGACGTTGTAACGATCGCGGCTGAAAATTGACAGATTTCCCGCGAACAGTGATCAGTCGCATTCTCACACTGTACATAAATTTTGGCCAGAAAGCGTATTGTAGCATAGTTACAACAAAGTTAATAGGGTAACCGATCCGCACAGCGATCGCTACTGGCGATCGATCGTCTACTTTCTCCGCGTCCTGAAGCGACCTAGGTTGGAACAAGGCGCGCAGGCTCATATGGTCTGACGCACAGCGGGAAAGAGAGAGGATAAGATCGCGGTCTCAAGTTTGCCCACCATCAAAGTTTGCCCACCAGACCGTTTTTCCGAAGCTGATGGGCAATTTGGTGGCAATGCTCCCACTCTGACCACCAAACCTCATTCTGGCGGGCGACTGGGGTCGCAGTCTTCGCATGTCAGGTATCCAACCGAAGTGACTTCGCCCCCAATGGAATTCGCGCCACTGCTCGCACACGCATGGTTCGACGACAATTGTTACGCAGAACACAGACGGCCAAACCTGACGACCGCGCCTGTTTCAAAAGATTCCCCGCTTGAACAAAACCGAATACGAATACGTGGGCAGCGGGCGACATGTATTTTGACGGCGACTTGCATGAGTCAACCGAATCAACGCCAGAGTGTCAAAAAAAAGAAAAAATGGCCGTTCGGTGTTGTCGCACACTGTCGGAAAGAGCAGTCGAAGGTATCGTGGCCGGTTGGGATGTTAGTGGGCAAACGTCGAACCGCATGGGGGAACTTTCAAATGTGAATTAATGCCACGTCAACATTTCGAGTCGCATGGGCAAACTTCGGATGGTGGGCAAACTTCGGAATGCGCCCTAAGGTGGGAAGAAATCCAGGTTGTGAATCATGAGTCGAGCAGACACGAGGGAAAGGAACATGGTGAATGCTGTAGGGATTCGAATTAGGGAAAAATTAGGGAGGCGCTTGTGGGGAGTTTCCAAGGTTGAGCGGGAAGGTGTGTCAGGGAGGTGTCAGAGAGGTAACTTGAAATTATGACGCGTTTTTAGCTGAATAGGTGTACAACCATTCAGGTTTGAGGAAATATTGAACATAGCGGAGAAGCGCATTACGAAGTAGCAGGTTCTAAGCGACGTGAAACCTGGTAACGCGAGCGACGACAACAGCAACTCGAAGTGCTGACACCTCTAGGCGAGAAGGATGTTTGCTTCGTAACCCAATCAGCGGAACAAATTTAGAGAAGAATCGGACAGTACGAATTGAAGATACCAACTACGACAACTTGTAAAGTGACATTTGCTTTCGCGACAATTCTTTGGGCAGTGACGTTTCGTACAAACAGCACCTACTCTCCCAGGTATTTGGTGTTTTTCGGTCCTCCCAACCTGATCGCAGCAGCTTCTGCATAAGTCTTCGTGATGCGCGCTTGTGCCACGCGCCGCGTGCGTGCAGCAGTAGCATCCATAGCAGCGTCGGGGTTTCCATCGGCGTTACCCTCAAGATCAGCTTCGGCTGCAGTGTTGGGATCGGGTTTATGCAATAACAAGACTCCACACTTCGCCATCCCTCCCGTTTCCGCAGCTTTACGATTGGTCTTTGATCCGTCCGTCTCCATTAGTAGATCTCGGGACACTAGCGCTTATGACTCGTCGTTTCTGAAACGCGATCTTGGCCGACCGATCCACGCCTCTTGCCACGTGGCAGAATTGACGGTCAGGCTTGCTGCAGGAGTGCTAGCTGCTCGCGCATTTTCTTCCGCGGGTAGCCCTGCGGGAGAGGAAGGCGCAAGCGGCGCAGCTAGGCGCAACAGCGATGGCGCAGACGCGGAAGGTTCAGCAAACTCCGAACCAGCGAGGTCAGCAGGATCGGTGGACGCAGCAGCCGAACCTACAGGTCCGCCGCTGCTTCGGAAGCGGCCGTTCAAGGCGGCATATGCGCAGGCGGCGGAGGATGGCGGAGGCGGATGGGTGGTGATGCTGGATGGGCGCATGCTCCAGACTCCCGCCAAGCGCATCATCCGCCTTCCGTCCGCGGCGCTGGCGCACGCGCTGGCGGCGGAATGGGAGTGGCAGGTGCGAGGGGGAGGCAGGGGGGAGGGGGGGTTGGTGGCGGGGGGAAGTCAGAGGTGATGGGTTTTGGATGGGATGGTGGGGGAGAAGAGTTAGGGGGAGGCTGGCGGATGTTGGTCATGGACAGACAGGGCAGAGACGTATGCTGAACTTACAAAACAGTGTTTCCTAGTGGATCACACAACCATGTGGGCCACCTTTTCCTTCGTTCCCTCCTCCTCCTTCCCCGCTCCACCACCCCTTTTCTACCATTCTTCCTCCCTTCCACCCAGGAATCGGCGAAGCTGCGTCCGTACACGATGCCGCTGATGAAGCTGGTGTGCACGGCGGTGGATCAGATCCCCACGGACCGGGACAAGGTGGTCGCACACCTGCTGCGCTTCTTCCACACAGATACCGTGCTCACCCGCACACCGCTCCCCGCTCACCACGTGCACGCGCCCACACCCTCCCCTTCCTCCTCCTCTTCCTCCTCTGACGCCTCTGACGCCGCTGACGCCTCTGCCGGCGCTGCAGCCTCCGATCTTAGTGCTCTTGCGTCCACTCCGACCACAGGGCCCTCGCTCCAAGGTACTGGCACATAGCTAACAAACGGGTTGCCGTTTCATTATCTTCCTGCGTTCGCTACACACCCTGCATTTCCTGCGTTCCCCACATTCCTTCCCCCTCTCCCTGTTCCCTCACCCTCTTCTTCCCCTTCCCCTCCTCTCCCTCCCTCCTCGCTCGCCCAGACCTGCAAGCAGCAGCGTGGAACCCGTTCCTAGACTGAATTGAATCCAAGTTCGGAGCCCCCCCCTCCATATCCCATAACCTGCTGCTGTGATGATTCAAGTCACTTAAAAGCGTCACCCTCCTCTTCCCCTTCCCCTCCTCCCCCTCCCTCTTCGCTCGCCCAGACCTGCAAGCAGCTGCATGGGACCCTCTCCTGGGCTGGATAGAGACAGAATTCGGCGCACGCCCCTCCGTATCCTACCTTTTACTGTCGCGATGACTTTTATTTCGACTCACAAGTCACTCTCCTCATCCCCTTCTCCCCCTCTCCCTCCCTCCTCACTCCCCCAGAACTGCAAGCAGCAGCATGGGACCCTCTCCTAGACTGGATAGAGTCCGAATTCGGCGCACGCCCATCCGTCTCCTACTCTTTACTGCCGCCCTATCAGCCCGACGCTGCCGTGAGGGCCATGCGCTATGCGCTGCAGCCAATGGACCCGTTCCACCTGGCAGCTGTGGATTTCCTGGCGGGCCACACGCGCTCGCTGGTACTGGCGCTGGCGGTGGTGCGGGGGCGTCTTACGATGGACGAAGCCATGCATGTGATCCGCGTCGAGGAGGATTTTCAGGTGGGTTCTCAGGTGGAATTTCGTTCTGTGAGTTTTTCTGAAGGTGTTGGCTCAGGTGGGTTTCTCTCCAAGGAATTTGGGGTTTTTTCTTTTCTTTTCTTTTCTTTTCTGGCCTCTTAGATATGCGTGTGTGGGTCCGCAAGTGTTCCTGTATCCTGGAAATGAAGATTCGGGTTTGGAAGAAGTGACTACTGGATGCTGAATCTCTTGTTTCCTGCCACAGCAGCATGTGGGCGTGTGTGAAGCAGATGTCGTTTGGCTCGCCGTTATCCATTTCCCAATAATACACGGATGCACGCATGCACATGTAAACCCATCTGGCCCGGTGCACCCACTAATGCATGAGCACATCCCCATGCATGCATGTATGTGTCACCATGCAGACGGACCGGTGGGGAGTGGTGGAGGGAGGGCATGACATAGACACATCGGACCTGAAAGTGCGTGTGGCAGCGGTGTCGGTCTTTGTTCGCCTCCTATCCATGCCTTGACGCATGCTGGTAGAGCTGACTTGAGGCAATGCCTGCGCCTCCCTTCCCACCCTATCCATGCCTTGACGCATGCCGTGCTAGCTGCCTTGGAATAAAAGCCATTGCATGCAACTCCCAACCCATCCCATTCATGCCTGGATGCCTGGCATCCTTCATCATTAACTCTGAAAGGCATGTTGTGTGTACTTCCGATCCTATCCATGCGTTGACGCTGCCTTTTGAGATGCCAGTAAGTGCAAAGGTTCATCTTGCACGTCCGATCCACGTCTTGACTTGGGGCTTGCTGCCCCGCGCTTAAGGCCGCTTCATGATGCTCAAGGTGGCATGCGGAAGGCACAATGTTGTGTGAATGAATGAATGAATGAATGACAGTATATTTCCAAAAAGGGAGAACAACTAGGGACAGTTGTAACGCAGGATTTTGGGTAAGCACTCTCATGTTAGGTTATCTGTATGCCTCACATCTCACAATGCGTTTCTGTATGCTGAACCACCACTAGTAACACAGATGGTGCACAATATCAATCAGGCCAACTGTCACTCGACGATCACAGATTTACAGGGTGTAAGCTACAATAGGCCATGCAAACACATGCTAGTACCACACTAAATACCGGCACCGTAACAGCATTGAGCCACACAGTATCTCCTACCATCTTCATGCCACAACATATAAACAGCATGGAGCAATTTCACCTGCCTACATACTTACACACAACAAACAGCATATAAACTGGACAACCCAAAACACCCGTACAACTTGGACCGATGTCCTGTGGAAAGTGCCCTTGCCACCATACCAGTACTACAAAGCTACGGTAGCAATAACTGTCAGCAGCAGGATCTGCATCAGCGGCACAAGCAGCAGGAGCAAGATGAGCATTCCTAGAAGCCCTATCAGCGGGTCCAGCGCCAGACAATGAAGATGACAACGAGAGTCAGCAGCATGCCGCCGTAGCTGATGGCCCTGTCCACCAACTGCCACACCAGCCATCCCCTGAGCCCCAGAACCGGCAACCCTAGCAGCAGGCACCAACGGCAGCAGGAGCAGCAGCAGGGGTGCGAAGCCCTATCAGCGCGTCCAGCGCCAGACGATGAAGATGACAATCACAGTCAGCAGCATGCCGCCGTAGCTGATGGCCCTGTCCACCAGCTGCCTCATCGACACCCCCCTGCGCTCCACAACCAACAACCCTAGCAGCAATCATCCTTTGCAACACGGGCAGCAGATGCATGAACTACAATCAGCGGGTCCAGCGCCAAACAACAAAGATGACAATGACGGTCAGCAGCATGCCGCCGTAGCTAATGACCTTATCCATGAGCTGCCTCCGGTTGATGCGCTTCAGCACTGCGTCTGACAGCCCCACGTAGTTCAGCATGTCTAGCGCTCGCCGCTGGGCGGACTGTGTAGTGGGGATGGGACCGGGGGAAGGGGGGGGGGGGGAGGATTATGACGGGCCTTGCGGTTTGAATTGAGTATGATTTACAACAGCAGGACTGCATCTGACAGCCCCACAGAATCAAGCATGTCCAAAGCGGGGGTGCGGGGGTGTGGAAGGGGAAGCGGGAAGGGAGGCGGTCACAAACGAGGGTGCTTTAAGCATCGGGACGGATCGAGGACTGCATATGACAGCCCCACAGAGTTGAGCATGTCCAAACCGGGGGTGCGGAGGGGGGAGCGGGAAGGGAAGCGGTCACAAACGAGGGTGCTTCAAAGCATCGGGACGGATTGAAAACGACATCTAGACTGCATCTGGGCGGCATCTGGGCGGCATCTAGCATGAGGTGGTTTACATACTCCTGTCATTTCCCGCCAATCCCTCCAATCCTGGCAACTCCCCACTCCCTCTTCTCCCCCCACCCACACAGCTCATTCAGTGCACCTCCTTATAAAGCGTCTGTTGTGAAAGCGTCACAATCCCCTCACCAACGTTTTATCAAGCACTCGCACGGCCCTTCTCCCACCTCCTCCAACCCTCCAAACCCCTCCCCTCCACACCCCCAACCCACCAACCCTAACCCATTTGAATTTGAACCACTCTCACCCTAAACACCTTTCCCTGCTGTGCCATGTGTGAAAGCGTGGAAATCCACTACGAATCCTCAAGCACACGGCCCTTCTCCCACCTCCCCCACCCCTCCCACCCTACCCTTCCCCGCCACCCCACCCCCACCATCCCTACCCCAGTCGAACCGCTCTCACCTTGAGCACCTCCCTCTGCTGTGCCATGTGTGACAGCGTCGCAATCCCCTGCGCCAACGTATCTCCAGCACACGCCCGCTCCTCCCCCCCCTTCCCCCCCCTCACCTAGCCCTTCCCCCACCTCCTCCAACCCTCTCTCACCTTCAACACCTCCCTCTGCTGCGCCATGTGAGAAAGAGTTGCAATCCCCTGCGCCAACGTATCCTCTAGCACGCGCCCCGCCCTCTTAGCCGTCTCCATGTCCCTGATCTCCGCGTCCGCCTCGCTCAGGATGCGCCCCCCCTGCCCCCCCGCGCGCGCCACCAGCAGCTCCGCCCGCTCCTGCGCCTCCCTGCGCCGCCTGTGCTCCTTGGCCGCGCACCGGTCTAGCGCCAGCCGTAGCGCCTCCGCCTCCTCCCCCATCACCTCGACTCGCCTGGGAGTTAGGGGCGGAGAGAGGAGGACATATGGGGGGGTTGGGGTCAGGGCGGAGGGGAGAGGAGCGACGGATTTAGATTAGGCTCGATTGTGGAGGAAAGAAGGGGGGACAAGAAGGGAGAAAGAGAACACAGGGAAGAGAAGGGGAGAAGAGAAAGGGAGACGAGAAGCGGGAAGAGAATGGGGGAGAGACGGGAAGTGAGGGAAAGAGAGGAGACGGAGGACGGGAAGAAGATCGACCCGGGGTTGAGAGGAATAAGAAAGAGGAAGAGAGAGGTGGGAGAGAGGAAAAAAGTGAAGAGGAGGACGTGGAGTAAGGGGCTGGGACGGTAGAGATTGGGGATGAGTGAAAAGGCTGGACCAACTAATCACAATGAAGGAGTTGAAAGAGAGGAGAGGAGAGAGGCAGGCGAACCCATCCCTAGTACTACCTTCTAAGCAACTTCCGTCCCCAGAAATTACCTCCGCCATAGCTCCCGTTGCGTCTTGTTCGCGTGGTTGCGCCACAGTTGCCCCATCTCCGCGCACATGCGCTGCAGTTCCGCCAGCTTCACGCGCAGCCCGTCCATCAGCGCGGGATCCACCGCCACCGCCCCCGCCGGCCCCGCTGCGCTGGCGCCGCCTCTGCCGCCGCTCGGATCGCGCGGCGCCTCGGCGAAGAACATCGGCGCCGCCAGCGGGCCGCCTGCTCCCGACTCGCAACGTTCAAGTAGCTCTATACCAGAGGAGAGCTCGATCCGCCTGCGCTGCGCTGCGGCGTACACGTCTGATAGAGTCGCGGAGCCCTGAGGCATAGCCATGGCCATGGCCGCCTCGCGGGGTATTCGGCGATCGGTGATAGGCGTGATGTGCGGGCGGCGTCAGTTGCGGGGTGATGAGTTATTCTCCCGAGACCTACTACTAACAAGTCGAATACGTGATGAATTATTCTCCCGAGACCTACTACTAACAAGTCGAATACTGTTCTTCTCGCAAAAGATTATTGTTAATTTGTTCCCTAACAGCGGAGGATGGGTTCGCGTAGGGATGCACGGGCTCCGTGCGACTTTTAAGAAATTCTTAAAAGCTTCACGGCACACGGCACACAATCGAGCTACGATCCAGTAGGAACGATGGACTCACTACCAGACGATATGCTAGCGAATCGCGAAAGAGAGTTTCAAGGCGAAGCATACGACTCAAGGCGAATCTTGTTTAGTGAAGAAAGTTTGTGCAGACGCAATCTAGGAGGTTCGGCGGGATTCGGCACTAGACTGGCGTGCGGTGCAATCTCGAGGTTGAATCGAGATTCGAGAGGTGAGCAGAGGGGTGGCTGTCACCACTCCCCTTGTGGGGTGGGGTGTTGTTATGAAGCGTTCAACGGATTCGTGCGGTAACAGCGACATTGCGAAGGGAGTGCACCACCGAAGCGGTTTCGTCTCTATTCGCGAAATTGCAATGGCACGCGGACGGCGCCTCCCACGAGAACATATGTACTGTACCGAACTTGAGGACGAAACTTTGGACAATCTGCGATGGGTTACCTGCCGATTCTTGGAGACCTGCGATTGGAAAGGGGCGCCTCGTGTGGGTTCGCGAAACTTCTGACTTGCTGGTTGCTGCGGTTCTTCTGACAACTGCTCTGCTCTGACTTAGCATGTTTTGTATCCGATATAGGACTTGTCCGTGTCTCGATAGTAGACCAAGCACCCATGCAGAACCTGGTTATGTTTGATTAATTTGACCAAAGCAGAGAAAGGTGGCTTTGCGCGTGAAAAACATCAGATTTACAAAAAACCATCTATTGCTGCTCACAGCTCGCAGAAAGTATTTTGCACATACATTTCAAGTTTTGTACCCACAGATCCAACAGAGCTTCTAGAGACAAACGTAGACATCAATGATGGCTACTGCCAGTTCACAGACAGAAGTGCCATACCTAACTGTACTACTACACCTACACTACCTGCTTTGCTAAGTCGAAACCAAAATTTGTAACCAACTAACACCTTCTGCTGTGGCCTAAACCAGAAGTTTCCTTGCCCAATTTAGACCCTTGAGAAGAAACTTGAAAGGCTTGGGCACATGTAAAAGATCCACCACACTTTCTCCTGGAGGCACCACCAGCACCTATAAGGGACCAAGGCGGGAGACAGGAGAAAAACCTTACCAATAGGATTGGATTGCTTGAACAAAAGCTACACAAGAATCTTGAGAATTTCTCTGAAAGGGAAGGAAGAGGGGAAGAAAAGGAGAAGAAAATGGAAGGGAAGGGAAGGGAAGGGAAGGGAAGGGAAGGGAAGGGAAGGTGGAGAGCGGGGAGTGCTCACATTGACTCGCCGTCTACCCCAGTGTAGGGCCTCGTTGTGTGAGTAGTGGTAAAGGTCTATGCGCGTGGCTCCTCGGATTGCTGAGCCCTTGTCATCCACCTGCCAGCATAGCCATGCACGTGTGGACACATGACATGGCACAGAGAGACGAGAAGACAAGAGAAGAAGAAACACGACAAGACAAGAGTACGAAAGACAGCAAGACAAGAAACGAGAAGTCGGCAAGACATGACAAGAGGACAAGACATGGCACATACTACGCAAGTCCACACCAAGAAGAGTTGAACATCAGCACCAAATGCAGCCGGGTGACAACCCAGCAAGAACATGAGGGGAGCTCCTTTTAGAGCCTACCGAGCCTCCTCTTGCCACGCACGCAATCCTTACAATCACGGGCCCTCCTTCACCCCCATTTGCCTCCTTCACCTCACCCTAGTCTCTCTTTCCTAATTCCCCCACTCCCCACCACATCCTCCATCTCAATTGATGGAAAATGACGCCAGATTCATATCCCAAAGTAACTTCCCATCCCAGACGACTCCAATCGACTCCACAATCTGCTCACCACCCCCCCACTCTCTCACACCTCCCCCCTCCCACTCACAATGCCCCATCCAATTCCCGGGATGAACATCTGAGTGCCAAACGGGTAGTGCGCCGTGTCTGCTGCAATGGTGCCGTGCCGATAAAGGTAGCAGGCCCCACAACCACTCACCCAGGCAGCACCACAACGGGACGCACTCCTTTCATATCTCTCCAAACTCTCCCACTCCCCCACTCCCCCTCGTCTCCTCCCCTCACCTCTCATCCCCTCACCGAAGCATTTCTCACCCCTCAACCGCCCACTCACAATGCCCCAGCCATATCCCGGGATGAACATCTGAGTAAAAAATGGGTAGTGTGCCGTGTCTACTGCAATGGTGCCGTGCCGTGCCGGGGCAGCAGGCGCTACAGCCATGCACCACTCACCCAGGCAGCACCTACAAGTTACCACAACGGGACGTGCTGCTTTCACACTAATCTCTCCCAACTATCCCACTCCCCCACTCCCCCTCGTCTCCTCCCCTCTCATCCCCTCGCCTAAACCTCCCCCCCCTCACCCCCTCCCCCACTCACAATGCCCCATCCAATTCCCGGGATGAACATCTGAGTGCCAAACGGGTAGTGCGCCGTGTCTGCTGCAATGGTGCCACCTCCCGCTTCTGACCCTCTCGTTCAACCCCTCTGCTTATAAAATCCTCCTATCATGCCCTTTTCCTGCTCCCACATCCCCCGTCCCCCCCCCCCTCCCACTCACAATGCCCCAGCCATATCCCGGGATGAACATCTGGGTCCCAAACGGGTAGTGCGCCGTGTCTGCTGCAATGGTGCCGTGCCGGGGCAGCAGGCGCCAGGGGAACAGCAGCAGCCGCCCGGGAATCTTCTGAATCTGGGAAAGGGAGAGCGGCGAGAGGATGGGCGGCCGGGACTGGAAGGGGGAGAGGAGGAGGACGGGCGGAGGGAACGGATGGGGGGTGGAATTGTAAGACCATTTTTGAAAATACACAGAAGCTACTTTATGAGGCACCTCAGATGCGGGCGACTGGGAATCTTCTGGAACTGAGAGAGGGAGAGCGGCGAGAGGGTGGGCGGGCGGGACTGGAAGGGGGATAGGGAGAGGGTGGGAGAGAGTAGCGGGGGTGGGATTGTAAAGACGAGACAGTTGTTGAGGCGCGAGGGGAATAGCAGCAGCCGCCCGGAAATCATCTGAAACTGAGAGAGAGAGCGGCGACAGGATTGGCGGGCGGGACTGGAAGGGGGAGACGGAGGGGGCTGGGAGAGAGGATGCGGGGTGGACTTGGAAGGGCAATTTCGAGTAATTTGATAAGCTAGTTTCAGAGGCGCCTCAAACGCAGGTGCCCTGGAAATTTCTGGAACTGAGAAAGGGAGAGGGGCGAGAGGATGGGAGGGAGCGCGAGGCTGCACGGGCGAGAGGAAGGGGGTGGGGAAAGAGGATGGGGATAGAGCTTGTGGAGGCAGAATGACTCTAGAGGCGTCTCAGAAGCAGACGCCAGGAAAGTGGAAACTGGGTAGGGATTGTGGAAGCAGATAGACATATATATTTTCTTTCTCTCCCCGAGATTGCTGAAGTGGAAGTGCTTGAAAGAGGTGTAAGTGGGTGTAAGTGGGTTGGTGGAGCAGGCAGCAGATCCATTTCTCACTCCGAGCAGCCACTTCTAAAAAATGTGGCATGTGTGGATTTGAAGTGTAACAGGCGGTTTCTCCTGATCGTCCTTTTAAGCAGCGAATTAGGCATGTGTGGGAGTGGGTCTCTCTCCAAATGCGCTTGAAAGGTGTGAAATACCTACATGAAGATGGTAGCCTGAGTAAGTTCTCGTACATGTGAAATACCTACATGACCAGGGTTCTTCAGGCGCTTAGAAATTCGTCTCACGTGAAAGTTGAGAATGTGAAATACACACCTGAGCGGGGTATCTGCCATTTGCCGTGAAGCCATGATAGGGACCTCCCTTAAGAGTTGTATCGGTCCAGTATCTGGGGTGATGGAGCGGAGGGGTGGAGGGGGAGGGTGGGGGGGGGGGGGAGTGGTGGGTCATCAGACACGCACAGGCGACTTACAAGTTGTGTCGTCCAGTAACTGGGGTGACGGGGCGGAGGGGTGGGAGGGAGAACGTGGGCAGCGGACACTCGTAGGTTCTTATGCCCCGTTCTCCCCCTTTCCCTCCCTCTCTCCCTCCCTCCATCCTTCTCTCCTTCTCCTCCTCCCACCCACCCTCCCTCCCTCCCTCCCTCCTCCCCCCTCCCCTTCCCCCCTCCGCTCCCCCTACTCACTTGGCGAAGAGCGGAATGGGCGAGTCGACCCACCCCTTCTTGCGGCGCCTGATGCGGAGGGGCATCCACCCGGGCACCACCCCCACGTAGAACGACCCGGGCAGCTTCAGCCCCCACTCCCACTTGCAGCAGTACCCGCAGCTGACGGCAGGGCAGGGAGGGGAGAGGGGAGAGAAGGGGAGAGGGGAGAGACGAGGGGAGACGAGGGGAGAGGAGAGGAGAGGAGGAGAGACGAGGGGAGACGAGGGGAAACGAGGGGAGATATGTTTAGTGTGGTGAGGAGCGGGGAGGGAAAACGGCGGGGAGGGGAAGGAAGTCAAGTGGAGAAGCGGCCATGCCATCCCATGCCACGCCACGCGAATGAATGAACTGTGATGCCACGACCATCCGAGGAATATCATTTCACGGCATGACTAATAAAGCCCGGACACACCAGGTCATGTCGGTACCAACTCGGTACAATCACAGGGCGTCACCCGCAATAAGCCGTGCATTCGATGACTCGTCTATAAGGCGCCATCTTCTAAGTCGTCTCAACGGTTACAAGGCATCACCTGCAGTAAGCCGTGCATTCAATCACTCGTCTGTAAGGTGCCATCTTCGCCAGCGCGCTCGCGACTCGAGCCTTTCCCCTTCTTCCGCCTTCCCCTCCGGTCGCTGATTGTCGTCCAACCGCTGCCGCTGCCGCTGCCGCCGCCGCAGCTGGTGCTACTACTTCTGCTGCCGCTGGGCGCTGATTACTCGCCCTACAGCCACGTTATACGCTCGCTCGTTTCGCGCACGCCCAGGGTCTCATGTACTGGTTGGCCGTGCAACTGCAAAACACTTGAGCGAAAGTTGGTTCTTTGGCGAGTCTCGATTGGACTAAACTTTGGCCCCAGATTTGTAAACCAATCAGACAGGCCCTTTTTTCATCGACTGCAAAACACTTGGTCTACTTGAGACCCTGGCTTTAAACAGTTTCTCTGGGCCAGAGCCTTTCTACACGCTAGGCTTGATAGGCTGAAAACACTTCCGCCTCGAACCGTCTCGGTTTTCCTTGCACCAAATCCAACTCCTTCGCAACCCCTCGCTGTTCGCCGCGTTGTCACCAGCTCGGCTCCGCAGTGTCGTCACCAATAGCCGTCATGGAGTTTCGAGCGGTAGCTGTCCTCCCGGTGCTTGCGACTTCGCGTGATAGTTCCGCATGCACCACTCTAGCACGACACAGCTGTGCGACGGTGCCGCTAAGTCGCCATGGCACGTGCTCTAATGCTCTGGATTGCGCCTAAAGCTTCAGAAAAGGTAATGGGAATATGGGTGGTGTGGTTGCTTGATGTGTGGGATATGAGAGGGGAGGAGTGTGTTGTGTCGGCCCGGTTTGAGAATGGGATGTGCGAGTCAGAGGCAGTTCGGTTCCAAACCACAGGTGTGGAGAAACTTGGCGGGAAGTCCATTTTCCAGTCGGTTTGAGATTGGACTTCCAAGCGACGGATCTAGATAGTACTGCGTATAACGCGTATGGTAGGAAAATCTTTTCCCTGAGGCGCATTCCGATGTAGCCTTTATCGCACGTTATTATTCATGAAGTGTAGCTGTAACCATTTTCAAAGGAAGGGGTGGCGAGGAGCCTTTCCCGCCAACTTTGCAGCCGCCGCGTCACGGTATGTACTGTACAGCACCAAAGCGGCAGCTTCTGCTTGGTGTGCATCGTGTGATGATCAGGGCTGTCGCTACAAGGGCAAATGCCCTTAATGCCCTGAACATTAAGGGTTGAGTTCTGCCTAGGTCCCCGAATTTAAGGGTTGGGTTTCAGGTCAGCCCGTCTGCCTAAAGTGCTGTGCTCGGGGCTAACCCGGATTTCAAGTATGAGTCTTGGGGCTAGCCCTTTCCCCTTCGAACTGATACTCCCACCCGCCCCATTTCCCGTCATCCCAGTTCCAGGTGCAGTATAACTCTTCCCAGAGCCAGTTTCGATGTACTTTGTGAACTTTCGAGGTCGGGACCTGAACTGGTTTTTTCGAAGTCATAACCTAAACCGCAAGTCGGAGCCTGAAGTGGTCCTAGTACAAACTGTAGGTTTCCGCGTGGAATGTTAGTTTTCTGTCCGCGAACAGCCTCACGATTCTGCCTTAGGTCGCAACAAGGAAGTGGGAATGCAACGGGCGGCCAATGAATACTTAGTCCTAGATCTGGGTAAATGGCTACACACACAAGTACCGGAGAGGTCCCAGTACCTCACCCTTACAATTTTGAGTGGGTTAGGCGTCTTTCCGCTAAGAGGTTTCATTCAGTGATCTAGGCAGGCGCGTGAAGAATCAACTCGGATGGGTAGTGCAAATCCAGGGTGATCTCTTGTCTAGCAAAAGTGCATGACACCTTGTAGCCCTGATTTCAAGTGTTGAGTTTGGCCCCAAAACGTAAATTTAAGGGAACATTTCGGGGCAGCTCAGCCTTCCAAGTTCTGGACCCAGAGCAATCGACAGCCCTGGTGATGATATTTTCCATGCATGGTGGGGGGGGCGGGCGGGTTGGGGGGGTTGCTGTGGGCCCTGTGTGGGAGTGGGCGGGGCAATGAAATGGGTGGGGTGGGGCACTTGGGGTTTTGGGGGGGGGGGGAAGGAGGGTCCGACCAGATGCCGTATGGCATCGTGTGAAACAGTGTACAGTATATGTGCCTGCCGTGCGGCACTCTAGTGTACTCCTCAGGCTGCGATTCGGTTTCGTCAGTTACTCAGCCCATCGAAACTGCCCCACAGGTTGGAGAACCAGATGGGTTCGACAATATTCAATACGATTAAAAACGATATGATACGGTGCGATGTGGTGAAGCAAGTGTGTCGAGCCAACCCAAGTCACACAGGGGTGCATGACGTGGTTTGTCCGTACGGCTCTCCGAACGAAATGCTAGCCTACACAGGGAGCATTCTGTACCAAGTAAGAGCCCAACCAGGTCCGCGTCAGAGTCAGGCATTCGTTTCGCACAGCGCCTTGCCTACCATTAGTGTCACACGCCGATACGGGTCGTGGCACCGCGCGTTACGCGGCGTCGCTTGCTGCTGGTAACTTTCTCTAGAAACTCCGCGCACGCAACGCTCGCCAATAGTTACTCCGTCCGCGTCGCAGCGATACCACTGTCAGCCTATCAGCCACGCACACTGAATGGACCCGAGTCGGTCATTAGTAACTTAGTAGCCTGACTAGTAGAATACTCTCCGAGTCGTAGAGGAAAATAAATTAAAGCCTGAGTAACCGCTCTTCTTTGGAGACATCAGATTATCGCGAGACCGTTCGCAGCACGTACGCTCCGCAGCGCGTTTTCGCTGACGCCAGCTCGCCATTCCCCTGCGTTTGCAGACGGTCGTTTGCGAGATTCTTCAGAACATCCCGTTCGTGCAGACGGCGACGCACCGCGGCAACTAATGAGTGCCGATGTCAGCTCGCTGCCCTCGCCGCGGCACGCGCCGCACGGTGCGGCGCTTATGTCTGCCGTCCCGGCCGTCCCGGCCATTCCGGCCGTCAGTTCAATCTTCTCCATCCCTTTTACGCGTGGCGCTACTGGCGCTCGCGCTCTTCCAGCGTGTCGCGGCGTCTGCGACGCGTTCCGACTCCGCGGCGCCTCCGAGCAGTCGAGATAGCGCTACGGAGTTGCGTCGACTATCATGGCGCTTCGAAAGCAGTCGAGGTAGTGCCACGGGTTTACATAGCATATGCAGTGAAAACTACTGGTAGTTGGTAGTAGTTTCTATCCCGTGCCACTCTCTCCCCCATCTCCCCCATCTCTCGTCCATCCCCAACCCTGCATCTCCCCCCCGTCTCTCTCCCAGCCTCGTCTCCTTCCGCAGACCCCTGCCGTGCGCGCGCCTGCCCTGTAAACCGCGTGTGCGAGGTGCGCAAGCACAGGCCTCGCTGCGCCTGCAAACCCCCGTTCGTCCCTGACGGCCATCAGTGCAGAGGTAACGGCCGTCAGTGCAGAGGTAACGGCCGTCAGTGCAGAGGTAACGGCCAAAAGTGCATCACATATGTTGTGTTTTTTTGTTTTGTTCTTGGTATTATTTTTGTTTGAGATTTCTTTTTGGAAACAGGCGAATTAGTCCACTTAGCTGCAATCAACTAAACTAACTCTCTCACATCCGTGGGGTGGGATTGAGATTATTCCACTCCTGGGTCCTCCTCTCATCTGTCCTCTTTCCTCCCCTTCCCCCCCTCAAACCCCTCCTGCCCCCCATCCCTCCTCCCCCCTGCTTTTCTCCCTTACTTTTCTCGAGCAGACCCCTGTGCATTCACGTTGTGCCCGCCTAACACTCATTGCTCGTTACAGTCCCATTTTCGACACAACGCCTCGGCTGCGTGCATTTCTACCAAGCCAATTTCATTCAGCCAACCGAACCTACCCAACGAACCAATCCTACCCACTTCACCGAACCTACCCACTGGACCAAACCTACTGAGCAACTTGATGAGGTGGCCCGTACCCGTGCCCCACCCTCTATCACACTTCCCCTCCTCCTCCTCCTCCTCCTCCTCCTCCTCCTCCTCCTCCTCCTCCTCCTCCTCCTCCTCCTCCTCCTCCTCCTCCTCCTCCTCCTCCTCCTCCTCCAACCCCTATTCACCCCGACCCCCCCCACCTCCCCAGATCAGCGGCCCTTCCCCCAACCCTCTACGCCTGCCCTCTTCCCCCTCCCCCTCAAACCACCAGCAGCTGGCGGAAAGGGGAGGGGGGAAGACGGGGGGGGGAACGGTGGGGGAAAGTACAAGGAAATTGGGGGAGACGAGTAAACTGGGAAGTGGTGGGAAAACGGGCGGAAAAAAGGGAGGAAAAAAGGGAGGAAAAGGGGGAGGAAAAGGGGGCGGGAAAGGGGGAGGGAAAGGGGGAGGAAAAGCGGGAGGGATAGGGGGAGGGAAAGGGGGAGGGAATGGGGGAAATGGTGGGGGGTATGATGACGGGTATGGGGATGACAACGGGGGGTGGGAGGAAACACCTATTGATGATGGGAGCTGGGATAACGGTGGGAGTGGAAGTGGAAAAGGAAGAGGAGGTGGAGGCGTAAGGCCTAAGCAGCCACCGCCTAGACGGGGTAAGATGGCGATGATTCGAGTGATACATCACATTGTGCGTGCATTTCGTGCATGGATTTCGCGCGTGCGTTTCTTGTGTGCATTTTTTTGTAGTACCTGCCAACGATTTTTTTTTTTTTTTTGCCATCTTTCACCTCGGCTCAACAACATTCCTCTTCCTCTCTTCTCCCATATCCATTCCCCATCCCCTCCAACCTCCCATTTCCCTTCCAATACAGGCGCCTCCCCTCCCCCCTCTTCCCGCCGCCAACCTCCCTCCCGCAAGCCTTCCCCCTCCCCCAAGCGTTCCCCCTCCCCCAAGCGTTCCCCTTCCCCCAAACGTCCACTTCCCCCAAAACTTCCGCCCTCCCCCAGACGCCCACCACCCTCCCCTCGCCGCCCACCCTCCCGCGCCCCTCCCTCCTCCCGCATACAGCCTCCCTCCCCCAGACGTCCGCCCTCCCCCAAACGTTTCCCCTCCCCCAAACCTCCCCCCTCCCCCAAACGCACCCCCGCCCCTCGCCGCCCACCCTCCTCCCCTCGCCGCCCACCCTCCTCCCCTCGCCGCCCACCCCCCCGATCACGCCCTCCTTCCCGTGGCCATCCCCCGTTGCCCGGGCGACCTCCATTTCAAAACGTGTGTACGCACATGCAGTGTGCGGGGAAGGCCAAGTGCCGCGCGCTGGGAGGCACTGCCAAGTGCGTGTGTGAACGGCCGTTCCTCACAGCCAACCGCACGTGCGTTGGTGAGTCAAGCCAAGCCTGGAGTACTTGTTTGTGTGAAGCAGGAGAGCATGTGTGTGCGTGTGTGCGCGCATGCAGTGTGAGTGGAAAGCCTTGTGTCCTGTTGCCTGTTGGGGGGTACTGCCAAGTGCGTGTGTGAGCGGCCGTTCCTCACAGCCAACCGCACGTGTGTGGGTGAGTCAAACCCGAGAGACATGCTTGTGTGAAGCAGGAACACACACGTATGATTTGGTCTGCAACGACTTTCTGGTCCGAACCCTCCCTGTGTATAGCGACCGTTCCCTTCCCTTCCCTCCCTCCCCTTCCCCAGACCCCTGCACAGTGACCACGTGTCCGGTGTATAGCGACTGTCGGGTGGTGGGCAGGAGTGTGCGGTGTGTGTGCTGGGCGGGGTTCTACCAGAAGAAGAGGGCGTGCATAGGTAGGGCCTTTGATGCCATCCCGTGCCACGTCATCCCGTGCCGTGCCCATGCCCATGCACATGCCTTGCCCATGGCATGCCATGCCATGCTATTCCCTCTCATGCCGTGCCGTCCCATTCTAGACTGTTGCGTCGTCTCTGCAATCCTCCCCTCTCTTTTCAAACTCTTCTCACTCTCCACTCTTCCCTCCCCATCCCTCTCCCTTCTCCGCTCTCTCCTCTCTCCCAATCCTCCCCCTCTCCCCTTATCTTTCCTCTCTCCCCATGCAGACCACTGCAAACTATATCCATCCAGCACTGTGTGGTGCATCACATGTGTTTTTAGACTCGACTGAATCCGTCTTGCCTTCCTCCCCTCTCTTCTTCCTCCACCCCGCACGCCGACCGCTGCCAACTGTGTCCATCCAACACTGTGTGCATTCACCTGACCCCGCGGGCCTTCACATGTGATTTTAGAGTCGACTAAAACACAACTCCCTCTCCCCTCTCCCCTCCCCCTACCCTACTCTCCCCACTGGACTTGTGTGCAGACCGCTGCCAGCTGTGCCCATCCAACACTGTGTGCATTCACCTGACACGCCGGGCCTTCACCTGCGCCCGCCCTGTTGCACGCAGACGCACACTAGAGCATGCAAGTGAGTCGTATGCGCTCATGCATGTGTGCGTGTGTGTGTCCTTACCCTCTTGCACGCAGACGCACACTAGAGCATGCAAGTGAGTCGTATGCGCTCATGCATGTGTGCGTGTGTGTGTCCTTACCCTCTTGCACGCAGCCACACACTAAAGGGAGCAAGTGAGTTGTATGCGCTCTTGCGTGTGTGCGTGTGTGTCCTTACCCTCCTGCATGCACACGCGTACTAGAGGGTGCAATAGAGACCGTGTGTGTGCACACTAGCATAGCTGTGTGTAACTGTGCGTAGCTGTGTGTTGCTTTGCATGCATAGCTGTGTGTGACTGTGCGTAGGTGTGTGTTGCTGTGCATAGCCGTGTGTTACTGTGTGTGTGCAATCTCCCTGCCGTCTCCAACCGCAACCCTGCACCTTCCGCCCCCACCCCCCCCCCCCCCCAGCAGCCTCATGCGAAGCGGTGCAGTGCGGTGCCAATGCTGCATGTGTGGTTGTGCAAGGTCATGCACAGTGCTCCTGCATACACCCCTACGAACCACAGGGCGATGCATGTGTTGGTGAGTGGGGCAGGGTGCTTCATAGCACTGGTAGTTACACTTAAGAGTTTCACTCACCTACGAACCACAGGGCGATGCATGTGTTGGTGAGTGGGGCATATTGCAGCATAGCACTAGTAGTTAGACTAAAGAGTCCACTCGAAAGCATGTGTCTGTGTGTCTGGCATACACCCCTACAAACCACAAGGCTATGCATATGTGCGTGAGTGGTTCAGGTTGTGGCATAGCACAGCACACGCACTTGTACTTTGTCTTTTGAATCGATTCAAGAGTATGAGTAGATAGATGCACACCGCATGCGCTATCTCAGCCCTGCCATCCGCACTCCATGTGTGTATGCATGTGCGAATTTTGAGTCGAAACTTAAAAGTCAGCGCGCACACGCTATCTCAGCCCTGCCTCCATGTGTGTATGTGTGTGTGGGTGTGCGTGCGTTTTGCGTAAAGGAGAGGTCTGAGTTTGTGGGGGTGTGAGTGTGTCAAGCGGGCGAGAGGCAGAGGAAGAGGGGAGTGAGGAGGGGGTTAGTGAGAAAACATACGGGAAAACTGTATGAGGCGCTGAGTTCTGACTGCTGTTGATACGACAGGCATGCCTCACAATCTGAACAGCCCCTGCAAAGCCCTTGTATTGAATCGCCTCCTCGTCGTGCGTGCTTCTTTCTGTCTGCTGCAGATGTGCGGTGATGAGCGTGTAACATGATTCTCCAACATACGGTAACAGCTGTGCATAACTGACACAAGGTCATAAGCAAGCAACATAACGTGTTGATTTACCCAACCTAGGAAGCTGTGTTGTGCCTAACCACTCAGATCTAGGTACGGTACCACTCTGTACATACGGTAGGTACCTGATACATACGGTATTGGTCCGAGTTATCTGAGACAAACAATGGTGTTCGCTGCATGTAACCCTTTGTTGCACCACAATTAGTCCATATCAGTCCATGTTCCGTTCAGTAATCAGCATTGAATCTTCGTCTGCATATGCTAGTGGTTTAAAAAGCACAGCCGGAAATTGCATGTCAAGAGTGTTGGGGTCAATAGTCGTACTCGAACCAGTACCATACCATAGCTAGCTCACCTGACGTCATACATTGGAGCAAAGGGTGCAAGGAGCATCTGTAGATGCGCTCAAGCAGACAGAGAAGGTACCCCGGTAAGACAACCTACCGTATTGACAAGAAAACGACTTACCTACCTATCTACCTGATTCTAATAGCCGCACCTTGCACGGTCCTGCACGGTGCGCACAAATGGGTTATCGCAGCCTAAACCCACTCCATACCCAGACAAAACCCCCAGCAACTCCTGCAACTCGTCTTCGGGCATATCAGGCGACCTAGAGATCACAAACACGTCGACGCGCGGCGTCGGATCCGAATCCTGGGGTTCCGTGCAGGAGAACACAAGCGCGGAGGAATAACCTTCCGCCTCGCTCCCATCCAGGGCGAGAATCCAGTAGTTGGGCTCGGTAGACGTAGACGGGAAGAGATCGAAGGTGACTGTGAGCTTAGCGGGGTCGCTAGTACTGGGGACAGCCTGGCCGAACACCGAGGTTGGGATCCCGCCGAAGGGAAGAGGAACGCCGGCGACGGAAGCTAGGGAAATAGAGAGAATGTCGGAACCAGCGAACGGAGCCACTGCCACTCCCACCCGGTTCAACGCGTCCCGGAGAGAATTCGCAGAGGTGAGAATACTCGTTGCTGCTGATGACACAGAGCTGTCACAGTTTGCGCTAGTAGCATTTTGAATAGTCGCGGCTGCGGATGCTATCTGGCCGGCTTTGTCCGCGGACGCGGATGCTTGCAGGAGCAGCTGGTTGGAGAGGAGGTTAAGTGATGCGTTGTGGAATTCGAGCTGCGAGATGCGTGTTGCGAGGGTAGCTATGGTGGCGATGGATGCGGAGATGCTGCGCGCTGACGCCTCGATATTGAGAAACTCGTTTGTGATGTTGGCCTGTGGGTGGAGGGAGGGGAGGGTGGATATCCCGGAAAGGAAAACATGAGAAACGGAAGGTGAACACAGCACCACCACCAGCAGCAGCAGCAGCAAAGACAGCATTCCCGCAGATTGTATACCTGCGAGCAGGCAGCAGCAGCTTGTGGCTGTGATTGGAGCAGCTCCAGAGCAGAGGCCGCAGCAGAGGACACGTTCACTAGGGCGCTGTGAATAGAGTGGTATAGGAAGACGAGGAAGGGAATGGCGCAGGGTGAGGAGAGAAACAAGAGAGACAGATTCAATGGCAAGGAAAGGTGCAAAAGGACGCATCCTTTGAACACAGAATATTTTTGATTCAACAAAAAATGTTCGGCTGCAAAGTTTCACGGAGCCGTCTTTTCATAAGTGTGTCGAAGCAAGCACATTCCACAACGGAAATCTAGACGCTCACCTACGGCTATTGCTGACTGACTAACTAGCCACCCCTCATCCACCTATCCCCCAATCCCCTCTCGAAAACCGAAGCGGTCACTACAGGTTTTCTCAGAGAGGCTTGAGCGAGAGAGGTGATCCTGTACATACAGGATACTACATCCCTCTCCCTCAAGCCCCTATCAGAAAACTGCACTGACCGTTTCGCTTTTCTGACACGTCCCCTCCCCCCTTCTTCCATCCCTCCCACACCCTCCCCTTTTCGCTTCCACTCACACGCACGCATCTCTGCTATTCCCAGCGACGCTACCCATGCTCTGCAACACAGCAGGCGACGCCACAAGTCGACCCGAATTCTCCACCCTGATACTGACGCCGCTCGTCCCCGCATCCGAGCCACCCGCGCTCCCCGCGCTGAACGTGTAGCGCGCCTGGTTGCACACGAGGCCGTTTTCCCGTTGGAGCTTGAAGCGCGCACTCGTGCCGATCTCAAACCACCGCCCCGCATACGCGGAGAGATTCACTTGCGCCACCGTGGGCGGGCGCGGACACAAGGGCTGCGCGTGCGCGGAAGGTATGGACGAGAGCGCGGCGGAGGCGGAAAGCAGAACGACTAGGAAGCGCACGAAAGCCATGCTGGGCGACGAAACTGGAAGCGCGAGAGCTTAACTCGTAATGACGGGCAAATCCTTCAGATGTATAAGGGAGTGGTATAGAGGTGCTCGATCTCGCTAATTGCGTGAACTGAACGGCTGGAAGCAGCCTATAAATAGGCTGGCGAGGGGCCGTCGCGCGCGCTCGGCAGCCGCGGCGCGCAGCTGGCAGACAACGTACGACCTGACATGGGGACAAGCGAACGGAGGACATCTGGGAAAGAACGAGCGATGAGACGAGAGTGAGCGGCTGATGCGGCGCGTAAGCGGAACGTAGAGGACGCCCGTAGGAAGGGTTATGGCCTGTGACTGGTGGGCCGTGACTTATGACCCGTGGACCGTGGCCTATAATTGGTGACTGGTGACGGGAGCAGCATTCGAGTGTGAAGGTGCATGTCATCCATTCTTGCTGTCCGTCGAAAGGAGCTCGAGATGAGCGAGCGAGGTTGGCCCGATGTTGACGGGCGATGAGAGGACGACCCATCCTCGTGATGAGATGATCCGCTAGTGCTGCAAGGTCATGTGAAAGCCGCGAGTCAGTGAGACAGTGCTGCCGAGGAATCTAGGAAGTCTTGATAGTGATTTGGTTCGGCAAAAGATTTGTACCTTACGAAATTTCGGGCTCGGGTTACATAAAATCGTGCGAAGTCTTCGTTTGCGCCTCTGCAGCGCAGCGGCAACACCCTTCTCGTGCTTTCGCGGGGTGCCAGAGGCAAATCTTCACTTGTAGCTGTTTCAGAATTCACAGTATAAGGATATCCGAGGTAAACTATATAGAATATCCGGATAGAATTGTTCAAAGATACTTGCTGGAATTTATAAACGAAAATCCTGTTGCTAGTGATGATGCCCCGTTGAAAGTGCAACGGTTTGTAACGCGGGCTCATATAGCGTCATGAGGAAGCTACAGTTGATGTCGCACGGAATCCTCCAGCAGCAATCATAACCTTCACCTTCGTGAATGCACATTCCCCGTGTTATACCCGTGCCGAGCGGCCTCAAGTCAACGGTATTGACGGCCGTAATTGCAAGGCGTCATTGCTGTCAACGTATAAAACCTCTTGTCAGAAAGCCCGACACACCTCAGGAGCACGCCCTAACTTGGGAGAGCATCAATGGACGGCGCTCAACAAGACATCCTCGAGTACTGTAGCACTCGAGAGTTCGAACTCGCTAGAGACAGCCTCAGTATTAGCGCAACAGATCATCTCTCTGAGACTGACACGGTCGAGCCCTTTCCCCGGAATTTCCCCGCACACAAACGGATTATCGGAACGCGCTTTATCGTGGACGGATTCCGCCACGCGGGGCCGTGGTCGCGCTGCTATTGGCTCACCCACTTCCACGCGGACCACTATTGCGGCCTTTCCCCCTCTTGGCGCGCGGGGGTGATTTTCTGCTCCCCCGTCACTGCGCGCCTGCTCTCCGCGGTGCTCGGGATCCCCCCCGCGTGGGTACGCCCGCTCCCCCTGCGCGCGTCCGTGACGGTGGATGGCGCGCGCGTGGTTCTGCGGGACGCGCACCACTGCCCGGGGGCTGTCCTGCTGCTGTTCCGCATTCCGCCTGCAGGGGGAGATGTGGGGGCAAGCACGGAGGAGGAGCGGGCGGGGGCGGGGAAGCAGGGGGCGAGAGGGGCGGGGAAGTTTCTGGCGGAAGGCAGGCGCAAGTCCAGAGATAGCGGAAAAGGGGAGATGGGGGGAGGAGAGAGGGTGGAAGGGGATGCGCGAAGGGGAAAGGGGGAAGGGGAGGGGGGATCAGTGGATCGGGGGGAGCGGGGGGAAGTGAAGTGGCGGAGGGTGTTGCACACAGGGGACTTTCGCCTGAGCCCTTGCATGCTGCAGGACCCTGTGATGCAGGCGATGGTGGGCGTAGATGCAGTGTATCTGGACACCACGTACTGCCACCCGCGCCACGTGTTCCCCCCCCAGAGCGACGCCGTGCAGTATGTGGCGCAGATGGTGCGGAGAGTGCTGGGGGAGGGGGAGGGGGGGAGAAAGAGTGAGGTAGCAGGAGGAGAGGATGGGGGAGAGGACAAGGGAGGAGAGGCTGGGGGAGAGGAGAAAGGGGAGGAGGTGGGGGATGGGGCCGAGGAAGGGGAAGGGATGCAGGGAGGGGCAGAAGAAGCAGCAGACGGAGAGGGAGAGAGGGATGGAAAGAGACATGGAAAAGTCGCGGCAGAAGCAGAGGGAGAGGGCGACAGGCAAAAGGGATGTACCGAACTGAGTGGAGCAGAAGAAGCAGCAGACGCAGCAAATGCAGAGAGGGGTACAGGGATCGTGTACAGAGACTCTCATGCAGAGCATCGTGTTGAAGCCATGGATGTCTCACAAGAGAGAGGAGACAGAGAAGCAGCAGTGGCAGCAGAAGCAGAAGCAGAAGCAGAAGCAGAGGGACAGCAGCAGAAACTGCAAGACCGAGTGCTGGTCCTCATATCCACCTACGTGATAGGCAAGGAAAAGCTCCTCCTCTCCATCGCCTCCCACTGCCACACCCGCATTGTCGTCGACCCAGCCAAGCTCAACACGCTCCGCTCCCTCGACCTAACCCCAGCAGAGCTCGCAGTGTTCACCACCGATCCTGCCGCCAGTCCCGTGCATGTGGTGCGCTGGGGGGTTCTGGGGGACGTGTGGCCGTTTTTTCGGCCGAATTGGCGGAATATGGAGCGGTTGGGGAGGGAGCGCGGGTGCGGGAGGGTGGTGGGGGTGGTGCCGACTGGGTGGATGTATGAGATGAAGCGCGAGGGGTTTCCGGTGCGGCGGAGGAGTGTGGTGGTGGGGGGAGAGGAGGGGGTGGAGGGTGTGGGGGGAGAGGAGGGGGCGGTGAGTGTGGGGGCAGAGGATGCGGGGGTGGGAGTGGTGGGAGAGGAGGAGGGGGCGGTGAATGTGGGGGAAGTGGTCGTGGACGTGGGCGCGGGGAAGGGAGGGATGGAGACGTTGGAAAAGGGTGTGAGCATGAGCAGTATGGTCATGGGGGAAGGTGGCCGGGGCAGGGGGGACGGGGATAAGAGCATGGTGTACGAAGTCAAAAGCATGGGGGAAGGGAGCAGAAGCAGCAGCAGGAGCAGCAGGGGCATGCGCATGGAGCTGGAGATTCACCTGGTGCCATACAGTGAGCACTGCAGCTTCCCTGAGCTGCGCTCCTTCCTCTCGTTCCTCCGCCCCCACCGCATCATCCCCACTGTCAACACGGGTGAGACTCCTGCTTCCGTTGCTGCGACTTGTGCTGCTGCTCCCTCGCCCTCTGTGCGCGTGCAGCTGCATTTTCTGAGGGGGCTGGTGGATGAATCGGCTTGCAAGCAGCGGTTTCTTGCGGGGTTTGGAAGGCGGAGAGAAAGGAGAGGGGGAGTGGTGGGGGGGGAGGGTGAGGGAGAGGTGGAGAGGGGGAGTGGGGGTGATGAGAGGGGAGAGGAAGGGGGAGGAGGAGGTCAGGGTTTGGGAGGGTGTATGGTTGAGCAGGGTTGGGAGGAGAGGGGAGAAGGGGAGGGAGAAGAGGATGGAGAGGAGGGGGGCCTGGAGGAGGGAGAGGAAGAAAAAGGACATGGTGAGGGAGGTTTTTGTTTGGAGAGGGGTGCTGGTGACGGGTCTGGTGAGTGGGAGGCGGAGAAAATGGAAGAAGAGGGGGTTGGGGGGGGCGCGTGTGGTGGTGAGGGCGGAGCGTGTGGAGAGGATTTATATCGGGCAGGCGCTGCTGACGTGGCATCGTTGCAGGGTGACATGGCTGCTTCTGACGGGCTACTACCACCAGCCGCGAAGCGTCAGCGGTTGGAGCCGTGTGTGGCTGCTGGGAGGGCTAGTGACAACAATGGCAACGCAAGGACCAGCAGCAGCACTGTGGCTCCTGGCAGTAACATTTCACAATGCAGTGACAGCGCCCAACGGGGGCTCGTGAGAGCAGGCAGCCAGGCCAAGCAAGGCAAGCGTGTGAAAGGGCAGAAGGGGAGAGCAGCAGCAACAGGAGCAGGAGTACGTTCAAGTCCCCGGGTGGAGGCAGGAAGAAGGAAGCCAGGGGGTAAGCAGCAGAGAGGAGGGGGGGGTGTGGTGACAAGGCATGGGGGCACGCAGCGGAGCATAAAGCACTTCTTTGGCTCGTCAACGTCAACACCAACATCATCCAAGGGTTTACCCAGCCAAGCTAACGCAGTGGAGTTGGTTCGGCCAGCAGAGGAGTGCAGTGCGGTGCAGATGGCGACCACCACGCCCGCTGCTGCCACCCCTGCATTCACACCTCGTGCTTTACTCACCACGCGAGTTGCCAGTTCATCCGCTCACCCCTCTTCGGACATTCGTGCTGCTGCACCTTCGCGGCTGGGTGCGGAGGGGTGCAGTGCGGTGCAGAGGATGGTGGCGGTGGGACTGCCAGGCCTGACGGCTGCAGTGGCGGTGAGGTTGCTGAAAGCGCATGGGGGGGATGTGGGGAGAGCGGTAGATGCCTTTCTGATGCATGTGGAGGGCGCAGGGGGAGGGGCAGGGGGCTGGGGAGAGGGGGGAACAGGGGGAGGAGTGAGAGGAGGCGAGGGAGGAGCGGGAGAGGGAGGATCAGGAGAAGGAGAGGGAAAGGGAGGAGAGGGAGAGGGGACGGGAGGTGAGGGAGAGAGAGGCACAGGAGAGGGAGAGGGATGCGTGAGAGACGGAGGAGAGGATAGAAGGTGTTTGGGGGAGGAGGGAAGGCAAGATGAAGCGGAAGGAGAGCAGGCACGAGGTGGGGTTTTTTGTGGGGTGGAAGGACGACGAGAAACGGAGGGGGAGAGGGCAGAGACGAGGAAAGGGGACAGGGAGTGCGTGGAGGGTACCGTAGTGAGCAAGCCAGCAAGGGCGCAAGTTGATAAGTGTGCAGCAGCCACAACAGCAGCAGAGTCAGCAGCAGCAGCGGCAGTGAAGTCAAGAGTGTCAGCAGGAGCAGCATCCGGTGGGAAGGCCGCAGTACCACCAGTGGCACTCGGTGTTGCAGCCTTTGATCCCGTCGCACATGGTCCGTGGACTCTAATGTGTGCTGTGTGCTGTGTGCTGTGTGCTGTGTGCTGTGTGCTGCACTTGTGCGTGTGTGTGCATGCGTGTTTGTGTTGTGGGTCTCATCTCTGCGGAACGTTGGTGCTCTCACAAGCTCAGTATACATACCTACAGCTCGATCCTCTTGTCCTTCCATGCCAACACAGACCATACCGCATCATCACCTTGCCACGCCATGCCACACCATGCCACGCCATGCCATCTCATGCCATGCCATGCCATGGTACTCCATGCCACACCATGTTCCACACTATATTCCACTCCATTCCATGCCATGCCATGCGGTGCACAACAGCAGGGTGGGAGTCAGGAGCAGCAGCGCCATACATGCATCTGGCAGTGGCGTTCGATGCAGTGGAGAGGGAGAGTGGGCGCATCAAGACAAGCGACATTCTCACCAACACCTTCCGAAGGTACCTGCCGTGCCATCCCTCTTGTATTGTGTGTGAGGTCGCAGGGGTCCTCACTCGGGGAAGATCCCTGAGTGAGGAGAGGACCCCTGGGACCTCACATACATGCATCTAGCGGTGGACTCTGATGCGGTGGAGAGGGAGAGTGGCCGCATCAAGGCAGCCGACATTCTCACCAACACCTTCAGAAGGTACCTTCCCTGCCATCCCACTTGCACGCCACTTTCCAAGCACATTCCGTGTGGTATAGACACGAAAACGCCTCTGCACACGTAGTATTTGTCATTGCAAGAGCGCAAGTCGTCTGTCAGTAAGTGAAATTTGACCACCAGTGACTCACTGCTTCCCATCTCACTGCTGTCTCATCAACAAGAGCGTTCTGGGCTTCGCTGAATGCCACCCCCCAGTTCACTGCTGGTCTCAAGTGCAACTGCTGTGAACCTCCACCCCCCAGTTCACTGTGCTTTGGGAGCGTCTCTCAAACCTGCAGTCCTGTCTGCTGCCCATGCTGCTGCGCAGTCAGTGCTGCTCCAGTCAGTGCTGCTCCAGCCCATAGAGGAATCCCTGGCTCGGGTAATGGCTCGCACCGCCATTACATGCTCCACTCCAGTCAATGCACCATCATGCGCCATCATTGCCCGCCATGCTGTCCCATCAATCAAGTCCATCAATACCCCGCCTCTCCCGTTCCTTTTCCCTGCACCAGCATCTTGGCACTCTCCCCCAATGACCTGCTGCCAGCTGTCTACCTCTGCACCAATTGCATCGCTCCCGACTTTGTCAATGCTGTAAGCCCACTCATTGGCTCATCATTACCCGCCCTGTTATCAAGTGCTGTGTGCTTTGAGTAGATTATCGAACTATGGGATCGCAATGACAGGGAGTTGCAAAGGTGCTCATGTCATGAGGCGTGCTGCAATGGCCATACGTGAACAGTTCGAACATTCCATTGGGAATAATAATTCCTTGTTTACTTGATCCCTACCTAGCCTAAGCTCCTACGGAATAGTGAAGATTAGGACGAGATTGGTCTGTTGGATCTGGGTCGAATCTATACTTTTCTTTGAACAGTTTGAACATTCGAGTTTCGAGACGTCTCAGAACATTCCATTCCATGTGAGCATGTTCATTTTCTCTATTAGACTCAATCGGACGGTGGAGTGTGCGGCGTGAAAGTGTGGGGTGGGTTGGGGTGTGAGGTGCAATGTGAATATGTTGGATAAGCCACTCTTTCATCCCCTGCTCTCCCTCTCTGGGAGAGCCCCCCTCCCCCCCTCTCCCCCTCTCTGGGAGAGCCCCCCTCCCCCCCTCTCCCCCTCTCCTGCAACAGGACCTGAACGTGGGGGGAGGCACTGTGGCGGGTGCCGTGTGTGAAGCAACAGGCGTGAAGAGGCAGCAGCTGCGACTCATGTACACACGCATGGGCGACCTTGGTACACACCTCTCTGTATCCTTCCTTTCTTTGTCTCTGTACCATCATAACTAGTAAGTTGTTTCTGCTTCTCTCTTGGCACTTCGCTTTTCTCCGCCTAGTTAGAATCTCTTCATCCATTATCCCAATCCCTTCTGCACCTAAAATCTGCCCCATTCCCTCTCCTCCGCTCCCTCAATCCATCCGACCCTCCCTCAATCCCTCCCTCCTTCCCTCCTGCCCTCCCTCTCCCATCCAGGCGACGTGGCCCATGCATGCCGCTCCTCTCAACGCTTGCTGCGTGCCCCGCAGCCCCTCACCATCCACCGCCTCTTCCACACCCTGCGCTCCCTCAGGTGAGCCCTCTTGCCCTTCTCCTCCTTCCTCACTCGCCTGTGCCGTGTGGCAAGCTCTTGCTTGCTGCCTTTGGACCTCGGGCTTGCCGCAATGCTGCGCGCCCCCCAGCCCCTCACCATCCACCGCCTCTTCCATGCTCTGCGCTCCCTCAGGTGCGCACCTCATCCCTGCTCTGCTCCCCGCCTCTCCTCTTCCACTCGCTGCGCTGCGCTGCCGGTGGACTTCCCCCCCCCTTCCTGCAGGGCAGTGGGGCACGCAGGAAGGACCTTGTCACATTGCTAGTGCACTTTGAGATGTCGCAAAATTCTCTACCCCACTGGAACCCACTCCCCTCACCCCCTCACACCTTGCAGTTGCGAGGCAGGGCAGGGCAGTGGGGCGCGCAGGAAGGCCCTGATCGTGTCGCTGCTGCGAGCATGCCGGGGCGTGGAGATCAAATACGTCGTCCGCACACTGGTGAGATCTTTCTTGTGGCGCCTTTGAAGTGAGTCTGGCGTGGCGACGTACTGGAAAATCTCGAGAATCAACAAGCATTGTGTTCCGGATAATTCCACTCCGCCCCGGTCCCCCAGTCGCCCCTCTTCTTGGCTTGACCCTCTCCTTCACCATGAATGAATCAATGACACACATGCAGATGTGCACCAATGTCATTACTGCCCTCGCTCACGCTGTCCCTCCCTCCTGTCTCTTCCTGTGCCGTGGGTCACCGGCAGGTGCGCAACATGCGTCTGGGAGCCATGATGAGGACGGTGCTACCAGCGCTCACTCTCCCCCTCAGCAACATTTGCAACACCCTGTCTCTCTTCCCACCATGAATCACCGGCAGGTGCGCAACATGCGTCTGGGAGCCATGATGAGGACAGTGCTACCAGCGCTGGCAGCAGCGGTGGTGCTGCACCATGCCTCGCCACGCTCTGCCGTCCCGCCCGCCCAGCTCAAGCTCCTCCGACCCACCATTCAGGTGGGTTCTGTACTCTTGAGGCACCTCGAAAGTGGTGCTGCACCATGTCCCGCCGTGCTCTGCTGTCGCGCCGTGCTCTGCCGTCCCGCACGTGACGTGAAGGATGCAGTGGTTCGCATTGAGACTTTCTTGGCGTTCTCTGCATGCAGAGCAGAGACCGAACAGCTTGTATGCTCTGCAGAATCTGCTCTGCTCTTCTCTCTTCTGCTCTCTTCTGCTCTCTTCTGTTCTGTACCTTGCACCAACTGCTTCTAACCCCCTGTCCTGCTTGCTCCTGCGACTGTGTAAAGCCTGTCAGTCCTCGTGTTGCTTTGCCCCGCAGGAAGCTTCCTCTGCTCTTTCCGAGGCCTTCAACTTTCTGCCCAACCTTGTGAGTCCCATGCCATGCTCAGTTGCCCATGGCCCCAGTGTCCCATGAGGTGACTTTTAAGTCGACTCAAAAGTCACACCATGGCCCCAGTATCCCATGCCCTCAACATATGTATGCCTTTTGCGAATTCTTATAACCTCAACCCATGCCCCCAGTATCCTGCGGCCCTCAACATCTGTACGCCTTTCTTCCTGCCATGCTGCCAGCCTTGGTCGCCAGTCATGCTTCTACCCCTGTTCCTGCCCTGCCCCTGCCCCTGCCCCTGTTTGTTACTGTTCCTGCTCCTGCCTCTGCCGCTGTTGTATTTGTGAGCACTCTCAAACACAGCGTCGTGTTTCATTCCTCCCCAACCCCTCGTACCGCTCTGCGTCACCACTGTGTCGCACCTCTCTACACCTGTGCTTGCAACAGGAGTTGCTGGTGCCCTTGATTCTCAGCCGAGAACCACCACCTCACAAGGTCTCTCTCCTCCTCCTCAACGCGTGCACACCATCTCCCTCGCACCCCACCGAACCCATCCCCACACCTGCCACCGTGGCGACAACCACTACCACTACCACTGACGCTGCAGCTTCCAGTACGACTCCTGTCACCGCCCCCCCATCGCCCATGTTGGGTGCTGGCCTGGCGTTCCTGCTGCAAGCCGTGGCTTCTGGCGACCTCATCTCCCCAGGGACCCCTTTCAAACCCATGCTCGCCAAGTGAGTCGAATGATAGAGCTAATACTACTGAACAAGTGTACTGGCATGCGCACTGCTCTCCCACTCACCCATCCCGTGCCCTGCCCTCTCATTTGTCAACGCCTTTGAATCTCTCTACCCCGTGTATCCCCCCGGCCCCATTAATACTCCGGGGCCGTCATTAATCCAGCCTTGTGCATTCCTTGTTCCAAGTTTATTATGAGTCGACTCGAATTACGTCCCTCGTCTGTCGAACCTTTCTCACCTCTCTCCACCCCATGCATCCCCCCAGGGTTTCCACTGGTCCTGCCCATGTGCTGTCAAAGTTTCAAGGCCACGCATTCGCGTGTGAGTTCAAGTATGTCCTGTTCGTCTCAACTTGTCACCCGGTGGCCGTGTGATGTGTGTGTGCAGTGGAGGTAGGGTATGTGCTATGACAGTTATTTCCTCGGTGATTTGAAAGTATGAGACTTAAGGGTGGCACTTCCATCAGTGGTGGAGGAAGGTATTGGGTTTTGAGACGTCTCAGAACTTCCTTCCTGTGTGATGGGGGTTACACCTGATGGTTTCTTTCTTGTGTCCTTTTGCGTGTGCTCGTGTTTTTTGCACACAATGTTCTTTGCCGTGCACCTGCTGATCGTTGCGGCTTGCCCATCGGATATCGCTGTTTCTGTGCCACAGATGGTGTCAGTCAGGGGCTATAACATGAAGCATTTTCCACGATGTTTCATAATGAAACAGATACATAAAGGAACGGATATTCCGTTGATGCTCGTACATGAACAGATACAGCTATCATCACTCTCTACGCGCCTGTCCCTGCCCTCCAGGTATGATGGTCAGCGCGCACAGATACATGTCTGCTCTACTTCATCAGCTCTTATACCATCCACCGAAAGTGGCAGAATTGACGCTCCAGCAGTGGAAAGCGCATCTGCATTAACATCGCCAGTAGCACCATCGGCTGCACCAGCAACATCACCAGCAACATCACTAGCATCAGCGCCATTGGCAGCACCATCAGCAGCAGCACCAGCAACACCAGCAGCAGCGGCAGCTTCAGTTCGGCTCTTCTCTCGCAGCAGCCAGGAGTGCACGGCCATGTTCCCAGACGCCATAGCTGCCGTGCAGTCAGCGCTGCACCCCTCAGTGTGCTCCGTCGTTCTCGATGCGGAGGTGAGTGAGCCACCCTGTCACTCCGTCCTTGGAACAAATGCCTCTCTCGCAGCAGCCAGGAGTGCACGGCCATGTTCCCAGACGCCATAGCTGCTGTGCTATCCGCGCTGGACCGCTCTGTGTGCTCCGCCATCCTTGATGCGGAGGTGAGTGAGCCACCCTGTCACTTTGTCCCTGGAACGAAGGCCCCTCTCGCAGCAGCCAGGAGTGCACGGCCATGTTCCCAGACGCCATAGCTGCCGTGCAATCCGCGCTGCACTCCTCTGTGTGCTCCGTCATTCTCGATGCGGAGGTGAGTGAGCGACCCGTTTTGAGTCGACTCAAGAGTTCACTGCCATGTTCCCAGACGCCATGGCTGCCGTGCAACCCTCCCTGCTATCCGCCCTGCACCACCCCGCTGTGTGCTCCACCATCCTCGACGTCGAGGTGAGTGGGATTCCCCTGTCATTGAGATATTTATTAGAGATTATTGAATGATTTTCTTGGGAATTCTCGAAAGGAAGGAACAAGGCTGCTGTGCTGATTCTCAGACGTCTCAAAACAAGCCTGCTGTGTCGTTGGAAGGACTCTGCTGCTCTACTGATTTTCTCGTCCGACCAACGAGCACAAATGAGCCATTCGCACCCCCGCCCCGCGGTGCATGCATGCAAGCATGCGTATTGATACCATCCTTAATCAGCATTCGAGTCCTGAGCTGAGCTTCTCAAACTGGCGTTTCGCCTGCCTGTTTCATCTGTTCTGATCTGTCTTTGTTGGCGTGCCTTTGTCGGTGTGTCTGTGTGTGGGCGCGCACGCACAAGCGTGCGTCCGTGTGTGTGTGAGTGTGTGCATGTGTGTGTGTCGGCGTGTGTGGATGGCTTCAGATCGTGCCAGTGTCACATGAAATTACTCCCCAGGGCTTCCACAAGCTGCTGCCCTTCCAAGTGCTGTCGCGGCGAGAGAGAGGCAGCAAGGAGAGAGCGGAGAGCAACGAGGAGCCAGGGAAGACAAGCAAGGGACAGCGTAAGGTGATTGCGAGCATTCCCAGTGGAGCGGCGAAGGCAGGTGGGAGCAAGCAGGGCGAGAGGGTGGAGAGGGGTGGTGGCGATAGCAGCATTTTAGCGCAGACAGGTCAAGGAGAGAGGGGGGATGTTATGGAGGAGAATGGGAGGGAGGCGACAGGTAGGGGTATAGAGGAAGGAGGGATGGGAGCAACAGAGGGATGGGTGGAAGAGGCGGAAGGAGTCAGGGGGGTGCAGGGAGCAGGAGGAGAGGCGGAAGCAAGCACAAAGGAAGCAGTGGTGGCAGCATTGGGCAGTGGTTGCAGCAGCAGAAGCATGGCAGGTGGGACTGGCAGCTAGGCTCTTTCTTGCACGCATGCATGTGCTTGCACACTCTTGAGTCGACTCAAAAGTCACCTCTTACTTGCACGCGTGCATGTGCTTGCACACTCTCTTTGATTTCGCCATACGCGTTTCCTAGACCCCAGCTTGTGTATTGGAAATCTGGAATCCGAAATGCGTTTCTTCCCAGGCATTGAGGTGCACCATAAGCTCTTGTTTGTAACTTTTGAGGCGCCTCAAAGTCGTTTCTTCCCAGGCATTGAGGTGCACCATAAGCTCTTCTTTATATGCGATTTGTGCATGTGTCAGTGCATGTGCGAATGTGTGCATATGCATGTTTGCATGCATGTGCATGTGTGTGTGTGCATGTGTGTGTACATGCTTGCATGTGCAGGTCCCCAAGTCTGCGTCTGTGTCTTCGACATTCTCTATCTCAACGGCCAATCGTAAGACACCAAGTACATTCTTTTTTCATCATTTCCACCAAGGCATCTTACAATCTGCTATGCTGCCTTGCAATCTGCAAGAATATCTCCTTCTACTTCCGGATCTGCTTCTGTGGGGACACACACCCACCAAGGCAGCGCCAGAGCCCAAGCTCCAGTCCAGTCTTCCCAGCATATGGCATCAGTTCTATTTTTTAGTCGACTAAAAAACAGACTCATCGCATATGGCATCAGTTCTCGTGTCCCTGTGCTTAGAAGATGCACTTACCTTCTCCACAGCACCAAAACCACGACCACGACCACACCAGCCAGCATCTCCTCCTGCCTTGCTTCCATGCCATCCCCTCATGGTTCTCCCTCCTTCCCACCTCATCCCTTTCCACGCAGACTCGTGAAGAAGAGCCTGAGGGAGCGTAGAGAGGGTGAGCCGTCCACCTCACCCTTTCCTGCTCGCCTTCTCCCTTCCCATCGCCCGCACCTCTCTGTCGTTGATTCTACTACACATCTGTTCCTGAATGCTCGTTTTCTTGTTTCTTTCTGATGGACCTAAACCCTTGGTGTCTTCTATTCCAGGGTTTTTGCGTTCACCCAATGTCATTCGAAAGCACTCCCTCCTCCTCCATTCTCCATGTATCCCCCTTTCCCTCCCTCTGCCTTTTGCAATTTAATGACCGTGCAGCTCTGGTTGCAGCACTGCGAATTTTGAGTCGACTCAAAAGTCTCCCCTTCCCTCGCTCTGCCCCGCGCAATATAATCGCCGTGCAGCTCTTGTCGCAGCACTGCCTGGTGCGGCCAGCAGCGAGGTTCCCGGAGGGCTCATGATCGTTGCACAGACAGAGGTGGGTGTGGGTGTGAGCACGTGGCAGGTGCATGCAAAGGGCAGCGCATGAAATTGGGTCATGGAATGTCTCAAACTGCCGGGATGGAAGTGGGTTGATATGCAAGAGGTTGAGTGAAGATGCGTCCAGAAGACGGGTCTTGAAGTTCAGGTTCGGGTTTGGGTGCAAGTGAGAGATATTGAAAAGCGGGGTGACTTGTTGTGATGACCGAGAACGGCCCGTGATCTCAATACTCGTGGCACTGCCTCCATGCTTGCCTGCTTGTACTGCACAGATTGCAGCAGCAGCAGCAGCAGCAGCAGCAGCAGCAGCAGCAGCAGCAGCAGCACACCAGGGCCCTGCAGAGAAGGATCTGCAAGTGCAGCCAAGGGAGATGGAGATAGAAGCTGCAGCAGCAGCTGCAGCACCACCAGCGGCACCAGCAGCAGCAGCAGCAGCATCACCAACAGCAGGAGCATCTGCAGCGGTAGCAGCAGGGACGGCAGAGGCGATAGAGGAGAGTGGGAGCGGAGCCATAGAGGCAAGCCTAGGCGCGGCGATAGAGCGCGGGTGCGAGGGGCTGATGGTGAAGCTGCTGGACGGCCCCCCCTCCTTCTACTGCCCCAACAAGCGCTCTGACTCGTGGCTCAAGGTGGGTACGAGGGTATGGGGGCAGGGGGCCATGGGGACATGGCGGTATGGGGACTAGGGGGTATGGGGACGTGGGGATATGGGGCTGGGATCATGGGGCATGGGGGCATGGCGGCTAGGGGGTATGGGGGGCATGGATGGAAGTGTGCTTGGCAGTACTGTGTCCGCGTGTGTTGGCTGTCGAGCAAAAACTAAAAAACTCAAGGAGAACTGGCTAATTATTGTTCGTAGTTGCAATGAGCCTAACTTTTCTAGTTAATAACGGCTAGTACTGTGCAGAATATAGACTGGGTGCTGCTAGGAGCGGAGCAAGCATGGTGCTGTGCGGCTACCTGTTCACTGTACCTCAGTGTGGCTGTGCTCTAGCCTGTAGAAATATCCGGATTTACGATTGGCATGTAAACCAGCACGCCCGCTCCCCTGCCCACCGCACCACACCCGCCATGCGTCCGGGCCCCGGCACGTGAAGCGGGGCGGGAGTACGTGGCAGGGCCTGTATTGTTGATCCTGATCACCATCACACTCCACATGCCCACCACACTCACCATGCGGCCGGCACGTGAAGCGGGCGGGACTACGTGGCAGGCCAATGTTTATGGTTTGTAGGAATGAATTATGTGACATTAGTATCCGAGTTACCCATGTGCACGCACTCACTGCCCCACCCACCATGTGCACGCACTCACTGCCCCACCCACCATGTGCTTGATAGGTGAAGCGGGACTACGTGGCCGGGCTTGGTGACTCCTTGGATCTGGTGCCCCGTGTCCCACATACCCTGCCAATGCCTCCCGTGCCCACCCCACACCCATCATACCCTCCGGCAGGTGAAGCGGGCGGGACTACGTGGAAGGGCTTGGTGAATCCGTGAATCTGGTGCCCCCCATGTCCCACATACCCCGCCCGCCAATGCCTCCCGTGCCCACCACACCCATCATACCCTCCTGCAGGTGAAGCGGGACTACGTGGCCGGGCTTGGTGACTCCTTGGATCTGCTGCCCCATGTCCCACATACCCTGCCAATGCCTCCCGTGCCCACCCCACACCCATCATACCCTCCGGCAGGTGAAGCGGGACTATGTGGCCGGGCTTGGTGACTCCTTGGATCTGGTTCCCATCGGCGCATGGCATGGCAATGGCCGCAAGGCCGGATGGTGAGAGGGAAAAGGAGGGGGGTGTGGTGGGGTGGGGGTATGGTGGTGAAAGTAAGGGCGGGATGGGGCCAAAAAAGTGTGTTGTGAAGGTGTGTTGAGGAGTGGATGTTGGGCTTGGTGGCTCTCTGAATCTGGCGCCTATCGGTGCATGTGATAAACGTGTAGTTTTGAGACGTCTCAAAAGGAGACTATCTGAATCTGGCGCCCATCGGTGCATGGACGGAGTGGTGAATGGATGGGCAGGATTGGGGCGAGGAAAGTGTCGAGAAGGTGTGGTGAGAAGTGTTGGGCTGGATGAGTCTCTGGGTCTGGCGAGTCTATGCACATTCATAGACTCTTGAGACGTTTTAAAGGCCAGACAGAGGACTCCCTGTCTCTGATATCTGTACATAGGCGCATGGCATGGCAATGGCGGCAAGGCCTGATGGTGAGAGCGAAATCGGGGGGTTGGTGGGGGTTTGGGATGGACTGGAAAGTGTTAAAGGAATGGCGAGCAGGATGGGTTGTGAAAATAACAGTGCTGTGAAATTGTCTTGACGAGTCTGGGTGCTCGTCAAATGTTCTTTATTTTTTTTTAACAACTCCTCCATCTGGTGCCCATAGGCGCATGGTGTGGCAATGGCAGCAAAGCCAGATGGTGAGAGTGATATTGGGGGGAGGAAGGGCATGATAATGCTCGGCTAATTGCTGTTTTCGCTCATGTTGGGGGATGGTGCTTGCTTGTTGCTGCATGTGCATGGGTGCATGCCTACACGTGCATATGTGCTTGGGTGCATACATATGTGCGTGCGTGCATGGCAACAGGTTCAGCCCCTTCCTAATGGCATGCTACAATCCAGATTCGGAGCGCTACGAGAGCGTGTGCCGAGTCATGTCAGGCTTCTCAGACGCATTCTACTCACAGGTGCCTCTGCTGTCGCCATCCCTCCAACAAGGTGACTTGTGAGTCGACTCAAAGCTCACTTTCTTTCATGTCAGGCTTCTCAGACGCATTCTACTCACAGGTACCTCTGCTGTGCTGTCGCCATCCCTCCAACACATTCCAGATTTACATGCTGAAATGTTGTTCCTCCCATAAACATTTTCCCAGAATCGGGGTGTTTTGGGGATTTTTTACTTACGTTAATGTATCCTGCTTCACATATTTTCTCCTCCACTCCACCTGTCCCTGCCGAGCGCCATCATAGCCAACCGAAGCCGTTTATGATGTCGCAGTGTCTAGGTGGCACATTCCTTGCTATCTCCACACAAAGCTAAACTTCTGATTCTCTTGCTGTTGTAGGGTTATGGCAGCTACGAGGTGGCTCACCTCAAAGCACCCTGCTTCGTGATTCCATCCTGACCCATGCACCCCACACCCCACACCACCCATGGTTCCAGGCAACGTCTCGGTATCGTGAGAGTGAGGAGCTGATGCTGCCGCGCAAGCCCCCATACGTGGCCACTCTGGAGGAGCCTGACGTCTGGTTCCTTCCTCACGAAGTGTGGGAGATCCGCTTTGCCGGTAAGTCCTGAGGCTCTTTTCTTTCAGCAACATACTCGTTCCTTCTGCACGCCGTGTGTGGGATTCGCTTTGCTGGTACTCTGCCTCCATCCTCTCTTGTGCTGCTCCTTGTTTTTCCTTCTTCCATCCTTTTCACACATGCCTGTGCAACACAGACAGTCACACACGTGCCCACGCGCACGCGCGGACACACACACACACGCACACACACACACACACACACACACACGCACACACACACACACACACATGCGCGCACACACACACACGCACGCACACACACACACACACACACACACACACACACACACACACACGCACGCACGCACACGCGCGTCACCCTGTTTCTCCTCTCTTCTTGGCTCTTCTTTTTCCTCTGCTTTTTCTTCCTTCTTGTTCCTCCTCTCTCCTTGTTCCTCCTCTCCTGTTCTTTCGTCCTTTCTGTTTCTCCTCTACCTGTTTTATTTCTCCTCGCAAGTAACCTCTAAACCATGTTCCAGATTTGAGTCTCTCGCCAGTGCATCAAGCAGCCTTGGGATTGGTGCATCCGACTCGTGGAATCTCCTTGCGCTTCCCAAGGTTTGTGTCAATCCGATTGGACAGACTTCCTGAGGATGCCTCGTCAGCAGCAGAGGTTGCCGAATTGTACCTTGCACAAGCTAAATCTTAATTCAAAGTTGTTTAGGTGCTTCTCTGAAGTATTGCAATGCAAAAGCCCTCTATGTAAGGAAGCTGGCTCTTGAGAGAGTTGTACAGGGTGTACAGTACATATTGATTAAAACGTGATTCCTGCTGGTTGGAATAGGATTACACGCGTTCCTGTGGTATTGGAAGAGGGTTGAGTAGCGTCGATCGACCCAGTTCACGGGGGAAATTCTTTGGCGAAAAGTCTGTCGTGTTGTGGGAGGGAGTACAATATGGTACGTGGTCCAATAGGAGTCTCAACGTCTCGTTACACACCTGCCATATTTGTCCTGCCACTGTTCCTAAGAGCGTTGTACCCCAACTTTAAGTATGGGACTCTTACCGGTATGCTTATAGTCATACCACGATCAGCATGCATATACCGCAGGATAACATATAATAATTCCAAACTTAATTAGACCAGCAAGAAAGGGCAGTAACTTTAGCTCACATGCACAGCTCTTGTAACAAGCCAACTCCCATAGACCACCCAATCCCCAACCATTAATTCCTTATATGGGTGCTAAAAACACAATTCTAAGGCTGCTTTATGGATGCCATGGCCACTCCACAACTGATACTGATCAGATGCCAGGGGCAGTTAGGTGGGATAAGTGACCTGGCTCCCCCTGTTGTGGTGTAACTGGAGTAATCAGTGTATGCGTGTGTGAGGAGTCATGTGCACGCACACACGTATGCTCCAAGTGAGAGCGCAGTGCAGTGTGTGTGCGCTTTCTGTCGACTGTGCAGCTTACAGCATCGACCCAACAGCCATATAAAATAGTTACTGGAAGAAACCATCAGAGGTGTATCTTGAAAAAAACGCGTATTGAAAAGAGGCCTCGGGATAACACCCGAGGACTGTAGAGGATAGGGAGAGTGTGCCTTATAGTTGCTAGGAAAAAGGTTGTTGATGTGTGTGCTTCTAAACAGCAGGGCCAGGCCCATTGCCCTCACCGCACTGGTTCAGCTCTCCACGATAGGAGGGTGTGAGGAGGATGGGTGCGAGGAGGATGGGTGCGAGGAGGATGGGTGGGAAGAGGATGGGTGGGCGGAGGATGGGTGGGAGGAGGATGGGTGGGAAGAGGATGGGTGGGAGGAGGATGGGTGGGAGGAGGATGGGTGGGAGAATAATGGGTGAAAGGAGGACGGTGGAGAGTGGAGGAGGAGGAGGGGGTTGCTAGAGAGCAGCACCAGCAAGGCCTGCCACCTGCATGAATCGCTCTGTTGCCTGCAGAGAGCACGAGATAGGGGCGAGGGGTGGGGGGCATGTGGAGAGGGGGGCCGTGTGGAGTGAGGGGCGAGGTGTGGGGTGTGTGTGCGTGTGAGAGAGTGGAAGGGAAAGGTGGGGGAGAGTTTGCAAAACACGGAGGCAGGATGCAAGGCAGGGCGTGCATGTGCAGTGGGAGGCAAGCAAGAGAGGACTCACGGCCTGCCAGGTGAATATTCTCTTCTCCTCCGGTGTGAGTGGGCGGGGGGGGTGCGCCAGTGCCCTCGCCATCGCTGCTGAGAAGTCATCTGTCAGACATGGGAGGAGGGGGGGGGGGGGGGGGGGGGAAGGAGAGGAAGGGGAGAGAGGGGAGAGAGTCGAGAAAATACGGGAGGATAAGGGGAGAGGGCGGGAGGTGGGACAGGAATGGGGAATGATATATTGAGGTAAGAGGAGGGAAAAGGTGTCAAAGAGTGTACGGATTGCATAATCAACACAATCACCACCACAATCACCAGCACCATCACCACCACCATACCTGGGTGGGCCACCGAATCGAAATGCCACACCTGGAACGCTGGGGTTATAGGGATTTTCTGAATAAAGACCTCGATGGACGGGTGCCGGCACAGCACGAGGAGCACTGTCACCATACCTGGGTGGATCACCGAACCTAATCCCCATACCTGGGTCGTTGGGGTCGTAGGTGACACAGTTGTCGGGGATGTTCTGAATGAAGAACTCGTTGGAGGGGTGCCGGCACAGCACGAGAATCTTCCCCATGGCTTTTGGTCACCATATCTGGGTCATCATCATATCACCCTGTCATTGCGGATCTAATAACCGTACCTGGGTCGTTGGGGTCGTAGGTGACACAGTTGTCAGGGATATTCTGGATGAAGAACTCATTAGACGGGTGGCGGCACAGCACGAGAATCTTCCCCATGGCTGCCGCTTCTGCTGTTGTGGTGCACAGCACGTCGCTCACACTCGGGTTCACAAACACCTTGAAGCTGGTGTGGGGGTGTGTGGGGTAATGGACAGAGGGTGAGGGGACAGGAGGAGTGAGTGCATCAAAGTATGCGTACAGGGTGTCGCTCACACTCGGGTTCACACACACCTTGAAGCTGGGGAGAGGGAGGGGAAGGGACAAAGGGTGGGGGGACAGGCGGAGACTAATAAAGCATGTGTACAGGGCATCACTCACACTTGAGAGCGTCACAAGAGTCAATAGAGTCACGAAGGTCACGAGGGTTACGAGGGTTACAAGGGTCAGGAGGGTCAAGAGTGGCAGGAAATAGAGATAGCACTCACTTGCGGAGCTCTGGGTCTGCGTGATCCTTCCTCCCATGGAAAACTATGGGCAGCTCGTGCCTGGCGGTGGTGGTGAGAGAGAGGCATTTGGATACACAGAGCACAGGGGACAAGGCACGGGACAAAAAATTTGATGTCTGGGGCGCCTCAGAAAAAGCCTGCGTGGTCCTTCCTCCCATGGAACACGATGGGCAGCTTGTGCCTGGCGATACACAGAGCACAGGGGAGAAGGCATGCGGCACAAAAGCATAATGTTAAGGCCAGGCACAAGCTCCTCAGAGATGAGACACTATGGAGCCGTGGTCCTACCTCCTGTGGAACACTATGCGCAGCTCGTGCCTGGCAATGACAGGCAGGGCGGTACACATAGCACGGGGCATAAGGGACCGGGCACGGGGCACAGCATTACACAAGACACAAGGCACCGGGGCATGGGAGAGAGAGAAAAGAGATGGAGAAGATGACTTAGGGTGGGGTGGGATGCGATGGGGTTGGTGTGTGGAGAGAGGAAGAGGAAGGGAAGGAGGAAGATGTTATATACATTGGATCCAAGGATGGCTCTAAGATGGTTCTATAGAGCAGAGATGGTGTTAAGGAAGCTCAGGAATTGACCGGGGATATAGAGCAGAGAGGGCAACGGAGGGGAAAGCACGCTAGGGAAAGGAAAGGAGGGAGGGAAGGGAATCTCATCACACTCAAACCCACCGCAGTCAAACCCACCGCAGTCAAACCCACCGCAGTCAAACCCACCACAGTCAAACCCACCGGCCTCACACCAACCGCACACACAACCAACGCACTCACACCCACATGCACGCACACCCACCAAACTCAATCCCACCCCGCACTTCATCCCACCGCACTCAATCCCACCCCACTCACTTGGCAGCAAAGGCCTTCACTTGCCCCTCCTCAAACCCATCGCCATATGCATGCACCCAGAACCGCTCTCCATCCCCCCCTTCCTGCCCTCTTGCCACCTGCTCCCCACTCTCCTCCTCCTCCTTCTCCTCGTGGTAGCACCCATTACGCAGCTTGGGTGCATCATCATCGCATGCACATCCACCTGTCCTCACATGCACGTGACCATTCGTCTGTGCATGTGAGTGTGTCTCAGAGTGTGTGTTCACGTGTCCGTTCATGGGTGTGCTGGCACATGCCGGACCAGAACCAGCAGCAGCAGCAGCAGCAGCAGCAGCAGCAGCAGCAGCAGCAGCAGGGAGGGGCTTTTGAGACGCCTTAAGTGCAGCAGCAGAGGCAGGCGGCAGAGCGGCGGGTTGTGTGGGGCGGCCGTGCTTGTTGCAGTGGTGCCGCATCAAGTCACAGAGCTCCTGGTAGCCCTTGCCCCAAAGCACCTGTGATAAATGCATGGACACACGGATCAGCAGAGAGGAGACGCGGAGGGAGGAGACAAAGGAGGAGGGCTTAGTGGGGAGCTAGTGCAGGTGGTGCCGCATCAAGTCACAGAGCGCCTGGTACCCCCCTTGCCCCATAGCACCTGCAGTTCGCAGAATGGTGGGGGGAAGAGGGTGGTGGTTTAGTGGAGGGTCGGACAGTGCATGCAAGGTGGTGCCACATCAAGTCACAGAGCTCCTGATAGCCCTTCGCAAGGGGGTTGTCAGGTGGGTATTTACTATTTAAGAACTTTCAGCAATCTGCCAGCCCACCCCTGACAACCCACCGCTGCCGGTGCGCTACCCTTGCCCACAAAGTACACGCCTGTGGCACGCGGTGGCGTCACATGGAATGCTCTAGGAATTCTCAATAATCTGCCAACCCACCCCTGCCACCACCCCTGCCACCACCCCTGCCACCACCCCTGCCAACCCGCCCCTGCCAGTCCGCTCACCTTGCCCACAAAGTACACGCCTGTGGCACGCGGTGGCGTCACATGGAATGCTCTAGGAATTCTCAATAATCTGCCAACCCACCCCTGCCACCACCCCTGCCACCACCCCTGCCACCACCCCTGCCAACCCGCCCCTGCCAGTCCGCTCACCTTGCCCACAAAGTACACGCCTGTGGCATGCGGTGGCGTCACATGGAATGCTCTACGAATTCTCAATAATCTGCCAACCCACCCCTGCCACCACCCCTGCCACCACCCCTGCCACCACCCCTGCCACCACCCCTGCCACCACCCCTGCCACCACCCCTGCCAACCCGCCCCTGCCAGTCCGCTCACCTTGCCCACAAAGTACACGCCTGTGGCATGCGGTGGCGTCACATGGAATGCTCTACGAATTCTCAATAATCTGCCAACCCACCCCTGCCACCACCCCTGCCACCACCCCTGCCACCACCCCTGCCACCACCCCTGCCACCACCCCTGCCACCACCCCTGCCACCACCCCTGCCAACCCGCCCCTGCCAGTCCGCTCACCTTGCCCACAAAGTACACGCCTGTGGCATGCGGTGGCGTCACATGGAATGCTCTACGAATTCTCAATAATCTGCCAACCCACCCCTGCCACCACCCCTGCCACCACCCCTGCCACCACCCCTGCCAACCCGCCCCTGCCAGTCCGCTCACCTTGCCCACAAAGTACACGCCTGTGGCATGCGGTGGCGTCACATGGAATGCTCTACGAATTCTCAATAATCTGCCAACCCACCCCTGCCACCACCCCTGCCACCACCCCTGCCAACCCGCCCCTGCCAGTCCGCTCACCTTGCCCACAAAGTACACGCCTGTGGCATGCGGTGGCGTCACATGGAATGCTCTACGAATTCTCAATAATCTGCCAACCCACCCCTGCCACCACCCCTGCCACCACCCCTGCCACCACCCCTGCCAACCCGCCCCTGCCAGTCCGCTCACCTTGCCCACAAAGTACACGCCTGTGGCATGCGGTGGCGTCACATGGAATGCTCTACGAATTCTCAATAATCTGCCAACCCACCCCTGCCACCACCCCTGCCACCACCCCTGCCACCACCCCTGCCAACCCGCCCCTGCCAGTCCGCTCACCTTGCCCACAAAGTACACGCCTGTGGCATGCGGTGGCGTCACATGGAATGCTCTACGAATTCTCAATAATCTGCCAACCCACCCCTGCCACCACCCCTGCCACCACCCCTGCCACCACCCCTGCCAACCCGCCCCTGCCAGTCCGCTCACCTTGCCCACAAAGTACACGCCTGTGGCATGCGGTGGCGTCACATGGAATGCTCTACGAATTCTCAATAATCTGCCAACCCACCCCTGCCACCACCCCTGCCACCACCCCTGCCAACCCGCCCCTGCCAGTCCGCTCACCTTGCCCACAAAGTACACGCCTGTGGCATGCGGTGGCGTCACATGGAATGCTCTACGAATTCTCAATAATCTGCCAACCCACCCCTGCCACCACCCCTGCCACCACCCCTGCCACCACCCCTGCCAACCCGCCCCTGCCAGTCCGCTCACCTTGCCCACAAAGTACACGCCTGTGGCATGCGGTGGCGTCACATGGAATGCTCTACGAATTCTCAATAATCTGCCAACCCACCCCTGCCACCACCCCTGCCACCACCCCTGCCACCACCCCTGCCACCACCCCTGCCACCACCCCTGCCAACCCGCCCCTGCCAGTCCGCTCACCTTGCCCACAAAGTACACGCCTGTGGCATGCGGTGGCGTCACATGGAATGCTCTACGAATTCTCAATAATCTGCCAACCCACCCCTGCCACCACCCCTGCCACCACCCCTGCCAACCCGCCCCTGCCAGTCCGCTCACCTTGCCCACAAAGTACACGCCTGTGGCATGCGGTGGCGTCACATGGAATGCTCTACGAATTCTCAATAATCTGCCAACCCACCCCTGCCACCACCCCTGCCACCACCCCTGCCACCACCCCTGCCAACCCGCCCCTGCCAGTCCGCTCACCTTGCCCACAAAGTACACGCCTGTGGCATGCGGTGGCGTCACATGGAATGCTCTACGAATTCTCAATAATCTGCCAACCCACCCCTGCCACCACCCCTGCCACCACCCCTGCCAACCCGCCCCTGCCAGTCCGCTCACCTTGCCCACAAAGTACACGCCTGTGGCATGCGGTGGCGTCACATGGAATGCTCTACGAATTCTCAATAATCTGCCAACCCACCCCTGCCACCACCCCTGCCACCACCCCTGCCACCACCCCTGCCAACCCGCCCCTGCCAGTCCGCTCACCTTGCCCACAAAGTACACGCCTGTGGCATGCGGTGGCGTCACATGGAATGCTCTACGAATTCTCAATAATCTGCCAACCCACCCCTGCCACCACCCCTGCCACCACCCCTGCCACCACCCCTGCCACCACCCCTGCCACCACCCCTGCCAACCCGCCCCTGCCAGTCCGCTCACCTTGCCCACAAAGTACACGCCTGTGGCATGCGGTGGCGTCACATGGAATGCTCTACGAATTCTCAATAATCTGCCAACCCACCCCTGCCACCACCCCTGCCACCACCCCTGCCACCACCCCTGCCAACCCGCCCCTGCCAGTCCGCTCACCTTGCCCACAAAGTACACGCCTGTGGCATGCGGTGGCGTCACATGGAATGCTCTACGAATTCTCAATAATCTGCCAACCCACCCCTGCCACCACCCCTGCCACCACCCCTGCCAACCCGCCCCTGCCAGTCCGCTCACCTTGCCCACAAAGTACACGCCTGTGGCATGCGGTGGCGTCACATGGAATGCTCTACGAATTCTCAATAATCTGCCAACCCACCCCTGCCACCACCCCTGCCACCACCCCTGCCACCACCCCTGCCACCACCCCTGCCACCACCCCTGCCACCACCCCTGCCACCACCCCTGCCACCACCCCTGCCAACCCGCCCCTGCCAGTCCGCTCACCTTGCCCACAAAGTACACGCCTGTGGCATGCGGTGGCGTCACATGGAATGCTCTACGAATTCTCAATAATCTGCCAACCCACCCCTGCCACCACCCCTGCCACCACCCCTGCCACCACCCCTGCCACCACCCCTGCCACCACCCCTGCCACCACCCCTGCCACCACCCCTGCCACCACCCCTGCCACCACCCCTGCCACCACCCCTGCCAACCCGCCCCTGCCAGTCCGCTCACCTTGCCCACAAAGTACACGCCTGTGGCATGCGGTGGCGTCACATGGAATGCTCTACGAATTCTCAATAATCTGCCAACCCACCCCTGCCACCACCCCTGCCACCACCCCTGCCACCACCCCTGCCACCACCCCTGCCACCACCCCTGCCACCACCCCTGCCACCACCCCTGCCACCACCCCTGCCAACCCGCCCCTGCCAGTCCGCTCACCTTGCCCACAAAGTACACGCCTGTGGCATGCGGTGGCGTCACATGGAATGCTCTACGAATTCTCAATAATCTGCCAACCCACCCCTGCCACCACCCCTGCCACCACCCCTGCCACCACCCCTGCCACCACCCCTGCCACCACCCCTGCCACCACCCCTGCCACCACCCCTGCCACCACCCCTGCCAACCCGCCCCTGCCAGTCCGCTCACCTTGCCCACAAAGTACACGCCTGTGGCATGCGGTGGCGTCACATGGAATGCTCTACGAATTCTCAATAATCTGCCAACCCACCCCTGCCACCACCCTGCCACCACCCCTGCCACCACCCCTGCCACCACCCCTGCCACCACCCCTGCCACCACCCCTGCCACCACCCCTGCCACCACCCCTGCCAACCCGCCCCTGCCAGTCCGCTCACCTTGCCCACAAAGTACACGCCTGTGGCATGCGGTGGCGTCACATGGAATGCTCTACGAATTCTCAATAATCTGCCAACCCACCCCTGCCACCACCCCTGCCACCACCCCTGCCACCACCCCTGCCACCACCCCTGCCACCACCCCTGCCACCACCCCTGCCACCACCCCTGCCACCACCCCTGCCAACCCGCCCCTGCCAGTCCGCTCACCTTGCCCACAAAGTACACGCCTGTGGCATGCGGTGGCGTCACATGGAATGCTCTACGAATTCTCAATAATCTGCCAACCCACCCCTGCCACCACCCCTGCCACCACCCCTGCCACCACCCCTGCCACCACCCCTGCCACCACCCCTGCCACCACCCCTGCCACCACCCCTGCCAACCCGCCCCTGCCAGTCCGCTCACCTTGCCCACAAAGTACACGCCTGTGGCATGCGGTGGCGTCACATGGAATGCTCTACGAATTCTCAATAATCTGCCAACCCACCCCTGCCACCACCCCTGCCACCACCCCTGCCACCACCCCTGCCACCACCCCTGCCACCACCCCTGCCACCACCCCTGCCACCACCCCTGCCACCACCCCTGCCACCACCCCTGCCACCACCCCTGCCACCACCCCTGCCACCACCCCTGCCACCACCCCTGCCAACCCGCC